TTTCACACTTTTTTAGTGTAATTCAGTTAAATTAATTTTATTTCGAAACAATTTATGCTACACCCATATTGCGTCGCATATATCCAATAAATTTCCTTTAACTTGAAACCCATCATGTATTTTGGATGCACAATAGACTATTCAAATAATCCTTCAAGCTTGACAAATTTTATTGCCCATAAAACCAAGATCAATAGCCATAACATGACAATAAAAATCAAGCAAATGATCAGATAAAACTGCAAAATTTCTGCACGCATTCATATAGGCTTATTTCCATACTTACTGGACATTTGTAAGGTAATTTTCGTTCGTAATGAGAATATAGAAAAAGCAGTTGTCACAGGTTCAATGAACTCAGCAATGTTCAGCTGACAACGCAATGCCGCGAAATATTCGAATTCCAAGGGTGGCCATGTTTGATTTTTGTTTTTATTTTTAAATTATAAATCGAACAGCTGTCGTTTTGAAGTGGTGTGCTGGTTCATGAGATTTTAATTATTTGATATTGTACTGGATTCATTATTTTATGCATTAAAATGTTCGTTAACCAGAAGGTACTGTGTTAAATTGACCTATTAATAAAAAAAATATTACCTATATAGATTACACTTACACTCCAATATTGTATTACATGCATATTTTCGTCAATAACTGGGCCATGACACGCACGTCAACAGCCTAATAACATTGTAAAGTTTTTAATGAGAATTTCTTAAAGTTGTTGAAGTCTGCTACGTCGGAGCCGAGTCGAGTCGTGAATGACCTAATTTCCATGATTTATGCTTGAACTCCAGGAATAAGCTTTTGAAATCAATGTACAGTCGTTCCCGCGTTTGTTTTGGTTGAACGCTACGCGAAAACTGCACTGGCCGTGACGAATATGCAGGAAGTATTTTTTTTTCTACATACATTGCCGTTTAGAGTAGTGTTTTCCTATTTTGAAAATATATCGTTGTTATATTTATTAAACAACAAAAAAACACAAATTTTTTTCCTTAAAGGATAGACAAAGGTGCACTTTTAATTTCGAAAATCGAACTAGAGCTTTGATCTTCGACTAGGAAATTAAGTTGATACGTAATTGAAAAAGTATTTCATATAAAATAGATGTAATATAAAAATCTCGTCTAAACATTCTTATGACAAGAAATTTTTATCGTATAGTTATAACTAAGTACAAATCATGCAAATTGTTAATAGTTAAATTTCGTTGAAACTAAATAATGGTGCGTTGAAAAGCTTATGATGTGTGGTAGAAAATGTATGTCAAATGGAAATACGCATTTAATTTTATGTATACAAAAATAATGATACAAACAAGTGAATTAATGCTACTGATTAAACTTCTCATATTTTATGGGTTGATAAAATTTAAAATAAACCAAATCCAACCACAGTTTAAATAAAATTTAATTCGCGGCTATAATTCTCTCCGAATTAAATTTAAATAAAATAACGTTCCATTTCCAAATTTCGTGACAAAACGTCCATCTTGTCAGACAGTCCCTTATCGCGCGCCAACCGCGAAAATGAGCGGGAAAATTTACATAAAATAAAACTTTTAGACCATCAGACAATTACTACAAAAGTAACATCGATTATTATGGCCGTATTACAAAAAGATGATCGATGATTTAAACCAAGGCGATTGGAAACACTTTTAATTATATTATTAGCTACTTATCGAGTTTTTCGTTGTACGCGAGAGCGTGTGACACAGTATTGTCGATTTCACTGAATCACTTTCTTTATTTACTCGTGTATAAATGGGATTGTTATGTAGTATCTATATACTTTTCTTTTTCATTCCACTATTAATCTTATGTAGCTGCCTTTGTTGTTGTTTTTATCAATTCTTCGGAGTAAAACACGTCATGTGTTTTCAATCTAATTTCGTTTCCACAAAAATGCATTTAAATTATTTGCAACGACTTTACTCATATAGTTTTAATGCACAATGTCATGCATACAGAGACATATGCAATTTAGCATTAGGTATTATTTTAATTTCTTTCTATTAAGTCTTTCTATACCATGTATGACCTCAAAACCTAAAAACAGTAAAGACTTTCTGGTCTTTTCTTCGCCATTTCACCGCTAGAAGATTAAAAACCCATTTGATATTGGTTGCGCAATTGTCAGCATTGTTAGTGTGGAACGGATTGCATCAAGCGGACGCATTGGCAGACGAGACGCGACCAGTTATTTATTTCTTATTGGAACATCTGACCGGCAGTGGGCAGTGCGGTAGAAATTGGAACAGCTTTCATTTGCCCGTCCTGCACAATCTATTTAGTTTTATGTTAGGTTCTTTCAGTACCCATTGAAAGAGTGAGTATTAGGTACCTACTTATTTGAAGTCCTACATTTCGTTCTTGTACTTCACCTTCTCTGACCAAAGCCTTGTCCTTTCTCATCAATATAATTAAAAAAATCTGTCTTATATATTGTAATCGTATCCATGGCACACTAACAATATCCGTGTTATATACATATTATTTTCTATTACTACGTCATAGTCGTAGGTGCGTTGCCGACCTTTTAGGGATTAGGGATTTGGAGATTTAGGAACTGGGGAGGGATTAGGAAGGGGAAGGATTGGGCCTCCGGTAACCTCACTCACACGGCGAAACACAACACTGTGGTTGTTTCACGCCGGTTTTCTGTGAGGCCGTGGTATCACTCCGGTCGAGCCGACCCATTCGCGCCGAAGCATGGCTCTCCCACACTTAAAATATTATCATCTATGAAATAGTGGAGTTTAGTATCAGCATTGCACCCGTGTAAAGCCGGGCGGGTCGCTAGTTTTTTTTTTTATATTCTATTAAATGTTTCTGTTCCGTTTGACAGTAGGAATTGCTTTCGAACTGACGTTGCTAAAGCTAATGTTCTCTGATTCAACTCAACTTTTTCCTCTTTTTTTTGTGAGGGGAAAATCATCAAATGACTTCTCCTGACCCCTAGTGTCAGACTCTAACTGACTAAAAAACCCCCTGTTCCTTCTCCTGCTCTGGGCCGAGGACGCGGTGCCTCATTGCGCTTACCCCGCAACCCGGCTGAACTTTTCCCTCTAAACAAAAAATTCCAGCTATTTGCAATAAAAACATTTCAAAAACATTGTAAATGTGTTGAATTATCTGGAACAAATGTACGTAAATAATTAGGTATCTTATTTGTGGTATTTAGAAACTAATCTAGGTTTACAGTGTTGTCTGTCGGTGCCACATTCCGTTACATACGGGTTTATCATCTACTATTTTGTTGACAGCTGACGTGACCCGGTCTTACATGTTAAATAAACTGGCTGATTCCCGCCACAGCTGCAATTTCAAATAACCATTTTCATTATAAAAATAACTCATCGTTCCACATTTAAATCTAAACTTTTTTTTTAGAATGTTCGGCTCATAGAAACCTTGTCTAGATATTGTACCATTATTGAACATTATAATCTGTCCAAGTCATAATATTGTGTGGACTTGTAATGTTGAAATAACCGTTTCTTGAACTGTATTTTATTTCTAATCTTTACTTATTTCAATGTTCAATTTAAAACGTAAAAAACCTCTTTCAAACAGACCTCTTTGAAACAATTCTGAATTTATCTTTTCATCTTAGTCATACGTTTGTTTCTAAATATTTTTGTGAATCTTCAAATCATTCTTACAAGAAGCAGACTTAGTGTTTGATATTTTCCCATTAGTTATTGTTTACACAACAAATCTTTCGATATTTTTGGCTAAGTCAAAGTCAAAGTCAAAGCGTTTATTGTACACTAACACCAGGTTTCTGAAAGGTTTGTCAACGCTAAAATTAACTAATCTCCTGTTAAATCTCTTGTCAAGTAATCTGATTGGTTGTTGGTAATTCAGTCAACCAATCAGATGACTTGACAAGAGATGAAATTGATTTTAACATTGATCGGCCTTTCGGAAACCGGGTGTTAGTGTAGGTACAATGTTGGTGTTATATTAGCACTTAAGACTTAGCAGCATTTTACAAGCATTGCAAATATATAATATATAAGCTATCACCCACAGTTGATTCCTTCCTTTTGGCGTATATCTTGTTTTTGCCAAACTGCACAAATTCGGATGCTATGGAATTTACACGTACTTTAATTATAAAATTTCCTTGCCAACGTTTAGTTTAACGTTTGCCAACAGTTTACTGTTTCATTGCATGTACGTCAAACGACAGTTATTATTTACTAAACGCCTTACTATACTGTCCGTACAATTCAAGTGCTCATATTGAAATATGGTCTCATATTTGGCATCGATTTGCGTAAGCAATTCGGATATTCTTGTTGGTAATTTAAATGATTATTTTACCCACTAACGTTTCGTGTTTACTTCTGGATAGAGGATAAATAAAGCGATATTTTCTCATGATTAAGTATTTTATGTTATGATGATTGTGACTGGAATATTCTGGTTAATTCTAGTTCTTTCTATTTTAGAAGCTATTCGCTTACTGGAAACTCGAAATGTTTGACAAACAAATCTCGGCCTTCACTGTTTCCGGACAGTTGCGTCTGCGCACATTTACCCTGCCAATGCGCATGTGATCTATTGACATGCATATCGATTGACCTACTTCTCCAGTTTTGTATAACTATAACATATTTTGTTTTGATTGATTTACGCGTCCCCTCTGTTCGATTCAGGACGTTCGGACGTATGAATGTTGTCATTGGCTTCGTACTCGAATGTTTAAATGCTGAAGGTCCAGAGCGTGTCAGCCGCGTGTGCACTTCGACATCTAAGTAAACTAAAATAGTCGAGCGGCCGCGTCGTCGGCCCGGCGACCGAGATAGTCGGCGCAGTGCGTCCGCGGAGCCCTCTCGCGCCGGTTCTATTTCCAACTAATGTTCCGACGCATCCCGTAACGCTCGCGACAATAATACTGCAACGGATCACTGTGAAATGGCACTGGACTTTCAACGTTCGCGACACTTCCGCTACAGGAAACGCAAGCGAACAGCCTAAACCAAAATGCCACACGCGCCGAGCACCGAAGCCGTCGCCGTCAACGGGACGAGCTCAAACCCATTGAAACTGCAAATACCGGATCATAACAAAAACGCAACAAACGGCAATGGTGTATTATCTCCACCTATCAATGGAAATGGGTCGATTCCACCGAACTTCAACGGACCTCTGTCGCCACCTATACTGGATACAACGCCTAAGAAACCGCCTAAAGCTCCGCCAAGTAGACCCATTTTGCCAGTAAAAAAATCCAAGACACTGCCAATTGACTTCGATGAAAAAGTTCCGCCAAAACCATCGTCTTCTATTACAAATGGCAAGAAACTTTTTGTAACGAAACCTCTAAAGGAGGTCCATACAATCACACAGCCTAACGGTGATAATGGACGATGTTTAGTAAGCAGATCTCCCAGCCCGGCCTACAGAAGAAGCAATTCCACTGCTTCGGTGGAGACTGGCTCAATAGCAGAACTTGCTAAACGACATGTTCCTGTAAATGTATTAACGTCGAGGTCTCCTAGTCCACTATCGTACAGTAGTGTTCGTAGTTCGGCAAGCCAATACTCGACATGCAGCAGCAATGGAACCTTTGTGCCATTATCTCGTTCTTCTAGTATGAACTCTACACTGTACAACAGAACTCCTACTCCAAGAAGAATGTATCCACAAACCTGTGATAGTTCCGAACGCGTAGATTTAAAAGAACTAAGTTCTCGAGAACAGGCTCCTGTTGTGTTTGATGCTAATATGTCATTTGTGCTCGGTTGTAATAAACAGCCTATCCGGCAAAAATTCAAGCCAATAGCAGCTCATATGGAAGAAGGAACGTCTTCCAATTATTTGAGCCACAAAATCGACAGTTTTTTACAAAGAACTGACCATGTTATGGATGAATGGCGAAGATTGGGACACAAAGATGACTCTGACATGATGTTCGATGGGAGAAAGAGGAGAGTCGGAAGATCAAAATCTGCGACGAACATCATGATCAAGGGTTTCACATTGTTCAGCCGGAGTGGCAGCCGAGCCAGCAGTGTTTGCCGATCCAGCCGCGGGATTTCGGAAGACAGAACGACTGTCTCCGAAATGGACGAGGTGACTCATGCTTACGATTAGTTTAAGATATCATAGCGTACAAATGTTCGAAAGCGTTCGTGATGCTCGTAAAGATAAGGCTAATACCGCGTAATAAATTATCGCCGGCCGCTTGGGATAGTTTCATGGGCTACCAGTGGCGCTTGAAACTGTGGCAGTTGGCTTTCTATTACCGCACGCGTGTCGGTTGCCAAAACATTTTTTTCTCATTGTTGACTGCGCGCAACGACGACATCTCTGAAGCGCGACTCTGCTTTGTCCGTCAACGAGGTATTACGACATTGTCACTCAAATTGAAACAGGAAGCTTGTCTTTTTTCATAACTTTGTGGATTTTTTATGTAGGAATTGTGTGCGTTTTTGGCAAGAGTTAAAGGTTGCTAGTATTGCGAATTCGCCAGACGGTTTATACGTTAGTTGGGCCACCTACTCTCAGCGTCAGTGCGTTCCAAATTTAACTTGTTATGTTTGAAATGTTGCCGCTTAGTTAATTTCATTGAGGCACGTAATTGTCGCGTCATAACTTAATAACAAATGCGCTAACCGATTTATAGGAGTTTGACATCAACATTGGCTGTATTTATCTTCTATATAACTATCGTAAATGTGACTGCTAAAATGAATATTGAAATAACACTATTATCGTTTTATTAATAACTAGCTATTCTCGCGAGGTTTCACCCGCTGCTCGGCTCCATTTAGTCGTAGCGTGATGTGTTATAGCCTATAGCACTCAGGAACACTGGAGCTATCTATTAGTGAATGAATTTTGGAAATCCGATCAGCGGTTCCAAAGATTATCCCCTACATACAAACTTAAAAACTTACAAACATACAAACTTTCAAATTTTACCTCTTTATAATATTAGTATAGATTGTATTTGGGTCTGAAATTTGTTACAAAATTTTCCTATTTGTGTGTTGGATGTATAAATAATGAAATGTACATATTAAACTTCAAAAAGAGAAAAGCAGAACAGTTAAATAATTCCTGTCGATTAATAAGCGAGGTGTTTTATTATTGTTATGGAGCTCTAATCACACGTCTGACGCGGTAGTGAAGTATTAACTGCTAACAACTAGGAACATTGCAATTATCTACTTTCTAACTAAAACGATTTCTCTCCATAAGACTATAGAATAATTTAAATACTTGTTGTACCTGCCATAACTGGACAAGGAGTAGGTACTTTATCTAGTAATACAACATTTTGCACACAGAACAGACGCTTAAATTCTATTATTATTAACGTCACATTATTTTTATTAGCTATAACTTCTTTTGTTCATTTACACATCAATATGCACTTTGAAAAATTATGTTTCACTAGCTTTTGCCCGCAACTCCGTTTGCGTGGAACAATGACTTCCTGCAGATTTTTGGTATAAAAACTATCCTATGTCCTTTCTCGAGTACCAAATCAAGTCTGTACTGAATTTCACACAAATCTGTTCAGTAGTTTAGACGTTAAGAAAAGACAGACAGGCAGATTTACTTTCGCATTTATAATATTCGTTTGGTTTTCATCAATTTGTTCTAAACAAGTTTTGTAGTTTTGCGTGCATCATAATCGTAGTCGTTTTCTTGTTTCTGAATTGGCTCTTTTAATGCATAGGCCGTAACTATGCACTTCTCTTTCCAGCTTCAGGAAGTTGTGGTTATTATATATTCTTGATAAATATCCTGTTTATTTGGCATGCTTTCATGTGTGTCCTTCCATTTGCAGACAGTTTCAACTTAGTACTTTGTGTCCATGTTTTGAAGAAGTCCTGATAACCTGATTCTGCACAAGAGGTTCTTAGTATTCGATTTTCGATAAAGACACACAGAAAATGACATTTTTCTATTTTAGACAATTAGGTATATTCCTCGGGCAAAAATGAATTCCTTCAAGATTTGAATACAATTAAATATTCAAAAATAATCGTACTTCATTGATGGACTTGACGATATACTTAATTTTAGTATTATATTGGTTAGATTTTAAGAAAAACGTATACTGTTTGACCCAAAATTATGTTGACGTCACATTTCTATTTTCCATATCAAATTTCATAGAAAAGTTTCGTTGTTGACATTTCGATAAAAGTAGATTGATACTGAAAATACTGTATATAAAGCACTGTATTTGCTTCTTGTTGCTTAGGACTCATATACTTAGTTAGTTATACCTAAACTACCGAACAGTTTGCCGGCTGCAGTCTTTCCGTCCGAATACAATTTAGGTGTCTTCAAGGCTAAAGTGAATAGGCTCTTTAAAAAAAAAACCTAGATAACTAACTCTGTATTTCTACTAAGGATCATTATATGTATTTGCATGGCATTATATACTGAAGAAAAATATTAACCATCTTCTTCGTTCTCCAGCTATCAGAAGTCGGTGGTGAGCTCGCAGAAGAACGGGCAGCAGCTGGACTGGCGACGGAACGTGCTGATGCTGAAGCAGCCGAGAGACTGCGCGTCGAACGCGACAACCGGGACCTGCTTGCTAACAACCAACGATTGCAGCAGGTTAGTAAACAATATTAATCCTTTTGAACACATAATGAAGGTTGAATTCCGTCTGACGATCCACTGGTAAAGCTAGCTAAGCTTTCACACAAAAGGGTTTTTAGAATGCAGAACTAAAGAATGCTTAAGGAATACAACATTTTTTAAATGACGACTTAGTCACGTAAATCATCTGAGAGCTCTACTAGTTTCAAGCCACAACGGGACTCTTATTCATAAGCAGCGTGCACATCACCGACTTAAAGCTTAAAAATCTTAAACAGTTTGTAAATTGGGCTAAGTAGTAAAGAACAATACAATACAGAGACATAATTATTCATCATTTTTATTCCTCTGTTAAAATCAGATCGACAAAGAATTACGGTATATCTAAGGTTTTAAATAATTCCCTAGCTTTTAATATTTATTGACAATAAAATAATCACACAGTATTATTATTTAAAAAATCGGACATCAGACTTTCGATTCACTTATAGAAAAAATACTTTCTCAAAGTTCTTTTATATCCTTATCGATTCGTCTCCTCCCATAGGCCTCAGAACGATTGGAGCTTGAGCTCCTGCACTGGCGTGCCGCTGACAGTGGTGGCGCCGAACCATCAGACTCCGAAGGATCAGAGGCTGATGCCACAGCCTCTGGCGACAAATACAAGCGAAGATTCGAGAGGGCACACAGGGAGCTACAACTGCTCCGCGCTCAGCTGCGCAGACAGCACGAAGATGACCTTGAGCAGCTCGTCACAGTCAAGAAGCAGTTGGAGAAAAAGGTAAGGGTCTTTGATCAGGTCTTGTGAGACTTTTTAGCTGGTACTGTATATGCTAGTGTACATTGTAACACAATAGTAGCTTAGAAAGCTGATGCGTGCGTATTAACGGTGTCGGAGATTTTGTCCAGTCTGCTTTTAAAAGAGTTTAAGAGCCTTTGTCACATTTTCTAGGAGTTTATTAAATTTCGTGACCACCCTATTCATTTGGAATTGTGTCAAGGTATTCAGTTTTGAGAATGTTCTCCATAGTTTTAATGAGTATCCTCTCAAATTTCGATTTTCATTAAGAAAATACATATTCTTAAGTCTAGGAACGATTTCGTAGGGAAACATTATGTTCATCACTGGAGATAAAACAAGATAAGATCATAGTTGGTGGTCCTTCGTAGTTTCTGCCAGTTTAGGATTAATTTTAGAATTGGATTCGAAACTGTCTTATTGATTCCTATAACTCTATCTTGGAAAAGAAAATTTTCTGGTACAATGTTAGTTTTTTAAACATTTCGGTTCTTTAAAATGTTTTTCTCTTATGTAACAATATAAACATCTTTTGTTACAATGTCTTATTGGCTACGAAACAAAACAATACAAAAGGATATGGCACATACAACGTTGCTAGTTAACCTATTTATGTAAATACGTTCGAAACTGTTTCAAAATTATAACTTCCGTACAAACTAACTACTATGTCTCAAAAACGAATATACTACTATACTAATACTATAGTTTCTGCCAGCGGCTTTGCCCGCAATTTCCGCCTAAACGATAGCCTAAGTGTTATTCCAGACTATAGTCTATCTGTTTATCAAATATTATTTAGATCCGTTCAGTAGTTTTTGTGTAAAAAAGAAACAAACATCCATTACAAACTTTTGCGTTTGTAATATAAGTAGAATTATCCTTATAGATAGCTGGATTGGACTTGCATTATCTCAATAAAAATAACGTATGTCTTAATCTAGACTCTATCTAAAATCTCCAGAATCGAAATGTGACCGGATCTAAATAAAATTGATACTGGTCCGTTCAATAGTTTTTGGATGAAAGGGTAATAAAAAACTTTCACATTTATAAGTTCTATCTAGTTAAAAATATCCATAGTCTCTAATATACACCGACAAATTCGCATAGCCTTCAATTTCTATTAAAAATATCGATTTGCTTATCAACCAGCTGGAAAAATATTTCCTTGGTATTAAAATAGCTATCCTACTTACGCGCGGCCCGCTTGCTCTCACACGTCAGCAGAGTTCGTTGCATTAAGAATTTTTGTTTGTCTGTCTGTCTGCGCTAATCTCGGAAAGTGCTGGTCTTGGATTGATGCATTTGCGATAGTCGTTTTGCCGATTTTTGTTTTTGAGCGTAACTTAACTGTGAGGTGTTTTATGGTTGTAAGAGCTTCTGAATAAACGGGTCAATATATACTTATCTTTAAAATGAAATCTTCGTATGCAATGCAAAAGTATTTTAAGTAAATATTATTGAACTTAGTTTTACGATAATTTTATGTCTGTCTCATAAAGTCGCGTTACCTAGCTTATAAATGTGACAACGGTGCAAGAGGTCTTCGAATTCGATACCTAGGCCGTGTTAAATATATGTATACTATACATATATTGATGTTCATAACGAGTAATTTAAACACAGACAGAGTTTTTTGAAAGAGAGTAAACATTGTGTTGCTCCAGGCAGGCGAAAGGGAGTGTCAGACTCTTAGGAGGAAGAGTAACCATGGAGTTTCTTGCTCGTCCTTTCCATTCGAATCTACACTTTGGAACGAGCAAATAGCTTCACTAGAGACAGACTGAAAGACTGATACACGAACTTTTTGATATTTATTTTTGTTTTACGTTCAAAGGTCCCTATTCTGGTATATTTGAAGTAAATCATTTCAAAATTATTTATTATGTTTTCGGCTTACTCACGTAATAATTTGACACGCGACACCCGACTCGGCGACCGTCGCTCTGCTACTCGACGGTCGCCGAGTCGCGTGTCGCGGAATGCTGCTCATGAATATGGGCCTCTAGCATGGCTTGAAACTAGTCGAGTATCTCGTCAAATTATTACATGAGTAAGCCGAAAACATAATAAATAATTTAGAATGTCTCACGAAAGTTATAATAAATCATTTCTAGTAGAGTATTATACTTACTGACTAAAAACGACCCCGGTTCCTTCTCCTGCTCCAAGCCGGAGTCGCGGTATGTCATTACACTAGACTTGCAAACCCGGGCGGGCCGGCTCTAAAAGACTGACACTGAAATTGTGCATCTCATAATGCAGAGAGAGACCGCTGTAAAAAAAGATTTGAGTTCATTAATGCCTCCTTAGCTCGTGGACACTAGTTAGTTTTTTCTTCTCCTCAAGTAATATATTGTGCATTTAATTCGTTGCGGGCTCCAAGACAGTTTTTTCATTCATGTCCCTGGAACGCGCCGGACTTCAGTGTTCCGGTGTTTGCATGGTTGTATCTACTGTAGATCCTGACTTCCAGGGGTTGCAGCATTTTTGGGAGGTCGCGGCGGGCTTGTCCCACAAAAAAAGCCTCTTTTTTTTTGTCAGGGGAAAATCATCCAATGACTTCTCCCACCCAGGACCAGGCGGGAGGGAGTGTCAGACTCTTACTGACTAAAAACCCCCCTGTTCCTTCTCCTGCTCTGGGCCGAGGTCGCGGTGCCTCATTGCGCTTATCCCGCAACCCAAAAAAAGCCTCCTTGGTCTCTTAAGTCCGAAATCCCTTAGTAGGTTCTTACAACCACGGTTCCGTGGTAGGGGGTGGTGAATGAATTCCATTTTACCGTTACCACATTTTAAGGGAAATATCTGTATCGTCTTCTTTCTCATATGTTGATGTTATATCTTAATAATATCATAATTATTTTATGAAGTTTTCCGTGTCAGCGCTCGCCCACTGTAACATTTTATTTTTACGCAAGGAATTTGTCATTGAAACATTATATTTATACATTATTTTGTAACTAAAATAACTTTATGAACTCATTCTCTGGAATGCGTGAAATAAAATAATACTTTTTTAATATACTTAGGTTTTAAAATACTGAATTAAACATAGGTACTTGTTATTCTTCGCTTCGATAATTTTCAAGCATTTAATTCAATATGTTTGCCAAGAATATATTATAATCTAATTTCTACTAATTTTATAACTAAACGTTTGTAAAAACTACCTACGTTTTTTAAAACGTTGCCACGTTGCGTTTACAAACATAAAGTTTTGCATATACACCACACCCGGAACAACAATTAGTGGAACATACAAAGATGATCATACCCAGCAACGGTGCCAACCGTGAAATCTTTCATATTTTTATCTTTTACGTAAAATCTATTGAAGTATATGGCACATTGTAATCTGGAATAACACATTTTACACGGTATAAGACACGGCAGACGCCCCTTCATGTTTGCTGTCACCTAGCTTGTATTTTAACATAATAACCTTCAGAAATATAATTTTTTATACACAACGAAAGTAAAACTAAGAATATCGACAAAAACATTAGCGTATCCACGTAATACGTTCGTATTTTTAGTGGGACATCCATGACCTAGACCGGTACGTTGTCTGTACTAGGGTTGGCACGCGGTAACCTGCCTGTTACCTGTCCGAAAAGTGATTGATATTAATAGCTAATACTTATCTTAGTATGCGATGTTTTGTGTGTAGGTATTTCTGAAGATAGAACCGTGTGGTTACTTGAGTAAATTACAGTTGTGATTGCATCCACTCTTGTCGCGAATGTCAAGAGCCTACAGAGCCATACTTCGTCACGAATGGATCGGCTCGACCAGAATGATACCGTGGTTTCACAGAAAACCAAGTTGAAACAACCATAGCGTTGTGTTTCGCCCTGTGAGTGAACCCAGGAACACCAACTCCCCATTCTTCCCGAATCACCAAATCTCCGAAACTCTCTCCCTACAAGATAGGCAACGCACTCGTAACGCCTTTTTGGGCGTCGCTCATCAGGTAAACCTTCTGCTCGTTTGCCGACGTATAAATAAGAGCCAATTACGCTCTCTAATAAAGAACACTTTGAACTGTGATAAAATCTCATCTTTTTCTCATCTCTTAACATAAAAGTTTTCGACAGTAACTCTTCCAAAGGAGAAAAGAATTATCACTTCCTACAGGTGTCTCCAATCTCCATAACCGAACTACTTCAAAGCAACACACATGTTGACACTAGAGACTTCATCAGATTCCTAAATGACGTCAGCATAGGCCGTAATCGTTACGACATAGTAAATACATGAAGAGGCCTATCGTCTAGGCGTAGTTGTAGTCACCTTTATCTCGCCATATCTCATCCTTGGCACAATGTTCAGAACTTGTTATCAACTCATCCCGATGCTATCTAACTATTCTTTATCAGCATAATTCGGTCACTTATCGACCGTGCGAGACGAATTTTTTTAAACATTATTTATTTTTCAATTCGTGATATTAATTTTTTAAAGTTTGATTTTTAGAATATTCCATTTTTAAATTGTGCGATATTTATTTTTTGAAAGTGTGATATTTTTTTAAGATAGTGACTCATATTATTGGGTGAATGTCGTAATTTTAAATACTTTCTGGTGATAGTAAATTTTTATTTGAAAACGAAGCTATACCGATTCTATGTGACGAAAGATTTAAGTACTTATATCATTATTTAAGTGTATCATAAATTTAAAACAAAAAGTTGATGTGTTTGCTCTTACGAACATGCATTTAAAAGTGATAAATATGTACCTACATCGTGTTATTTAATACTTTTTCATATTGAACTGCTTTCTACCGCTGATAAAGCTGGTTTTTATTAGGTTCTTGTGTCATCAGTCTGTTATTGAGAATGTAAGGGAACAAAGTGAATTTATGTAATGTTTTAAACAGCATTTTTAATGTTTTAGTGAAAGTGGAATGTGTTTCTCATTATTTGTAAATTAAAATTTACACTATAACATGAAAAATAATAAATTAAATATCACACTTTAAAAAAATGTTGTGCTCAAAAGTGTAGTGAATTGAAGTGGTTAAAAAAAATCGAGTGTATTTTAAAATTCGTATGAAATGTGTGTAAGAAATTCGTACTAAGTAGTTCCAAAAAATCTTCATTGAAAGCATTTCAAACGTCAAAAGTATATCGACACCGGGTGCCTAGTAATTTACATCGAAGAAAATATTTATAATTTCGTAATTTTTCTGAATGATATACGATGGAGAGTGAGCCAGAGGTTAGTGAACTTTAATATCACAATGTTGTATGATGTACAGTCCTGTGCAAAATGTATTTAATATTTAACGAATTTCAAAGCGTAGTTGTATGTTGGTTATTCCTGGTAAGGTCGATAATTTACTCGACATTTATTTATTTATTATAAGGTAGGCTCACAGCTTATGTATACAAAGTGGTTTAAAGTAACGGTTATAGGCAGTAGGTCATATACATTAGCCAGTTCCGAGCTAACCAACATTCTAAAAAATATGTGTTTATACAGTCAAAATATATAGAAATTAAAACAAACTAATTAAATTAACATTGGTAAGACAACAGTATTAATCACATTAAAGTATTAAGTAACTAAATAAAATTAAAATTTGATATTATTTGACATTATTATATCATGTACTTGCGACGCGCCCCGGCTTCACACCTTACATTATTTACACCAGCATTATGGGCGAAATCAAAGTAAAAGTTAAATCATTAGTAGCAAGTAAACCATATACTAAATTTAAACAGGTACTTTTAAAACGTTTAAATAGTACTAGCTTTTGCCTGAGACTTTGTCCGCGTAGAATAGTGACTTCCTGCAGATTTTTTATATTTAAAAACTACTCTGTGTCCTTTCTCGAGTTCCAAACTATGTCTGTACCAAATTTCACACAAATAGTTTCAGTAGTTTGGGCGTGTAGAAAAGACAGACAGAGTTACTAAATTACACACAAATAGGTTCAGTAGATGAGTCGTGAAGAAAAGACAAATAGACAGCCGGACAGAGAGACTTTCGCATTTATAATATTTATATTACTTTGAATAATAGTCTGTCAGTCTGTTCGTCAGTGAAGCTAGGTGCTCGTTCCAAATTGTAGATTTGAATAGAGAAGATCGAACGGGAGACTCTTTTTTTTAAAGCCACACTGGCTACTGTCGGGAAATAGTTATTAAATAAATAAGTCTAGCTAAACGGCACTTATTTTTGCACATGAGTGTACATAATTATTAACTTGTTTTATAGTAATCGTTTACGATTGGCGTCCGTCCAACGGAGCTGTGCGGGTCGGATTACGCTTCTAAATATCTTTGTGCATATGTAGGTACAGCGTTTTAATGCTCATTGCTTTCGTAATTATATGCTTGTATCGTTGTTTTCGCCTGCCTGATGCGTCGGCACAATCACTGTCTAACGTTGGGTCTATTTTCAAATAAATGTAGAACTAATTAAGTTACTTTCATTAGTTGTTTATTAATATTATAGTTTGATGGTTGATGTATTCATTGCTAGGCTTTGAACCAAAAATATACATTGCTTATAAAATACTAGCTACTGTCCCGCGGTTTCACCCGCTGCTCGGCTCCTACACATCGTAGCGTGATGTTTTATAGCCTACAGCCTTACTCAATAAATGGAATAGACCAAACACGAAAATATTTTTTCAATTCGAACCAGTAATTCCTCAGATTAGCGCGTTCCAACAAAAAAACTCTTCAGCTTTATAATATTAGTATAGATAATTGACTTACTTAGTGGGTGCACACATCCGTATGAAAGTAACTAGTTAGTTTATAAAAGAATCTTCACGGGAACAGATTTGTTGGGAGTAGTTACATATAGTGCAGAAACATTAGTTCTTCAGAGGAAAACTGTGCCAAATTCTTTATTTGATATCGTTTATATTTTTTCACAATATTTATCTAAAGAGGACACTCAAGTCCTACCTGATCCATAGAGATAGCTGCATATACGTATTATATTATGTACAGATAAATTGCATTGTGTGACCCCAAAAATACTGGCAACGCACTGACATTTTACCATCAGCCGATGCGTCTTTTTTTTAATGTAATAGTTCGGCAAACGAGCAGACGGATTACATGATGGTAAGCAATCAGCGCCACCCATGGACACTCGCAACGGAGGAGTTACGAGTGCGTTGCCGACCTTTTAGGGATCAGGGATTTGGAGATCTCGGGATTGAGGAGGGATTGGGGAGGGGAAGGATTGGGCCTCCGGTAACCTCACTCACACGGCGAAACACAACGCTGTGGTTATATCACGCCGGTTTTCTGTGAGGCCGTGGTATCACTACGGTCGAGCTGACCCATTCGTGCGCAAGCATGGCTCTCCCACACTTGTCTGCTCTTCTAGTCGTAAATAAGTTCTTATATCAATCTCCTCTCGTCTCCAGGTCCAGGATGCGTACGAAGAAGTGGAGGAACAGAGGGCTGTGGCTGCACAATGGAAGCGCAAGCTGCAGAAGTTGACCAACGATATGGCTGACCTTCGGTCCTTGCTGGATGAACAGGTAAGCTGGTGTATAAAAGATATATTTTATTACTTAGGGCTGATTTTTCAAAAATCAGATAAATGTTGCTGTCACTGTCTTATACAAACATTCTGACGCGACAGCATCATAATTATTCCCCAGGTAACTTTTATCTAACCATTAAACATCAGCCCTTATTAATCTGATGGCTATTTGGAGAATTCGAACTGCCTTGTGAAGTATACCAGTGACTGCCAAGCCAAGTATACTAGGCACAATTCTATAGTGGTCAAAATATATTTGGATATTGGATATCACAATAATTTTGGCTGTTGCAACAACGTTAGTTGCAACACTGTTCAGTGCTGTAACAGCTAGAATTAAGCTCAAGTATAACAATAAATTAGCTTACCCATATCATATTTTTGGCTCATTACAAAACTATCTATATGGTATTAAAAGGTCTGATCTTGGAAGCACAATATCGTGGCCCAAGCCCAGTGCGAGAGCAACCCCTTCCTTCTATCAGGAGAGGGAACGGGTCGGTTTTTAGTCAACAAGAGTTTCACTCTCCCTCCACGTTCCACCCGGGAAGGGAGAAGTCATTGGAACATTTATCCCTCCCCCTCTCAAATACTAAAATGTATGACATTATCCTACTCCTTTTATTTGAGATGGTGCATATCTTGTAAAAATGGATGCCAATTTTTAACATTATCTATTAATTCCAGACTTGTCGCAATAACTTGCTGGAGAAACGTCAGCGTAAGTTTGACGGCGAGCTTCAAGCGGCTCAGGAAGAACTGAAACGCGAGCGCGGCGCCAAGGAGCGACTATCGAGGGAACGAGACCAGGCACACGCTGAGAAATACGCGCTGGAACAGAGCCTCTCTGTGAGTAGACCGTCTTAGAATCTTAGTCTTTTCCTGACCATTACCTTGTTGATACTTCGTGGCAACGTTCAACAAAGAAGACATGAAGACATGAATAATTGATATATACTACTGTATAAAAAGAGTAATGAGAGAGGTTATCCCTCGTTCTTCTTCATTAGAATCTACACTTTAGAACGAGTACCTAGATTCATTGACCAAGACTGATGAGCTAGTATTTTACTTTTTACTTTTGACGAACATCTGACAGTCTACATTAAACTTCGTTATACTTATTAAAGAACCCAAATATACCCAAAAAATATCCGGTCTTAACCTCCAAACCAAATAACAGTATATTTAGCCTCTTACAAGGTTAACAAAATGTCTCCACAATACCTTCATTAAATTAATTATATTAAAGTCTAAATCCAAAACCTTGGTTTCCCTCATCAGGAAGCTCGTCTGGAACTGGAGCTGAAAGAAGAACGGCTCGCTGCAGCGACCCGCGAGTTGGAAGAACGTGGTGGCGGAGGCGATGAGCTGTCTGCTCTGCGCAGATCCAAGACAGACCTCGAGCGACGCGTGCGAGATCAGGAGGAGGAGCTCGATGAACTGGCCGGGCAGATACAGGTAATAAACGTGGTCTTTGGTCTACTGGTCTTTTCGGTCTACTGGTCTTCTCGGTCTTCTAGTCTTTTATGGTCTACTGACAAATACAACAACGATTAACTTTTTTTTTAATTCATAGCGTAGTAAAATTGAAAGAGATCACTCTACCATACTCGCGTTCTGTAGAAGAATAAGCTTGGATATGGTTTTCTATCGAATCAAAAATGCCTTTTAGTCATCTTAATCCTGATAATGTAACTTATACAATAAAATCCTTTCATTCTGTGTTTACTAAAATGTTTATCTATCTTCTAGCTACTGGAGAGCTCCAAGCTCCGGCTAGAAATGTTACTGGAGCAGCAACGCAAGGAGGCGAGGCTTGAGGCGGCCGCCAGGGACGATGAGATGGAGGAGACCCGGGCCAACGCCGCTAAGAAACTTAAGAGTAAGATGTTTTGTACTTTATTTTCTAATACGTAGAGACGCTTTTTTCCAAATACAATTGTTGAATTACCACGATATACCTATATAGATTTCAAATTAATAAACAACAATAAAATCATAGACTTTGGTCATTGAACTTGATATTTGTTTTTTTATAAATATATTTTCACTACTATCATTTAAATTCTATCAAGCAACCTTAGACATTTTTTGGTCTAGAACTGAGTCCTTACCTACTAACATTATAAACACGAAAGTTCTTAAATATAATATAATAAGTTCTTAAATATTTTTGTAACCTTTTCACTTAAAACTGCTCCACGGATCTAAATGAAATTTTGCACAGATATAAATTATAGTCTTTATATTTAGGCAGAAACTGTTTGGAATAAAAGGACTGAAAAATCAACGTCCACTTTAATTTTTATTGATCAGTGTCGTACTCAAATTTATTTATTGAAAAATATTTTTGGGTATTAACTATCCTGAGACATTCTAAATTCATGGAAAATGATGACGATTTGACGATTACGCGAAATAACTGAGAAACGCTTAACTATTTCCACGCGCACGTATCTCTTGAATAAGAGTCCCGTTATGACTTGAAACTATTCGAGCATTTCTCAGTTTTCTCAGTTAATTCACGTGACTACGTCGTTACTTTCAATAACAATAACGATACAAATATTATAAATAAAATAAAAAAAGTTAATAACTAAATATATGTCTCCATCTTAACTAACATCTGAATATTACAGTGCTGGAATCCCAGCTAGAGAGCGAGCATTCAGAGCGTAGCTTGCTACTGAGGGAACGACATGAACTGGAGCGTCGCCTCGCCGCCCTCGAGGAAACTGCGCGAGCCGAGACCCACGACCAGCAACAACTTGTACAGAGGCTTAAGAGGTACACTACAATTTTTTATGTCACTTTGCGCTAACTAGATGGCGCTAGTGAAGCGTAAGGTCTTACTTCTCTAAAGCGAAAATCAAATCATTTGACCACAACAGACACTTTTGAACGTCAAACAATACAAAATATCTATAGTTCCAACTTTATGTGTGTCAGTCTGTCGGTCTGTCTTCTATTGATGCTATTTGCTGAGTTGATTTTTGACTACCAACTTTTCGGTAGCTAATGTATATAGATCCTGGCAATAAACTAATTCACGTAGCTTTAATTAGTTTTATAAAAATGCAGCGCAATGGTTTGTGCATAGTTTTTAGGATTTCATTGTAAAACAACTTATGATTGGAAGCTTTTATTTAATCTTTAAAATTGCGCAGAGTTGCGCTCACTGCACCAGAGTTTCATTGTCAATGGCCGACACTCGCTCGGCCACCCTCTTTATAGTGATATGACGACATAGACAATAATAGTGCGACACTGATTAGTGTTACTAATCATAGACAATACAACAGACAGTAATGCGAGTTTGCGCAAACTTTTGTTCTAACTGTAATTGTTGTTGCGCAAAATGTTATATTAAACATAACACATGTTATAAACTGGAATTAAAATTGTAAGATTTACTTACCTTTGAGTTTGAAAGTATCATATTTTATTAATATCAATTTGATTTTAGGGATCTGAAGAGATACCGCGCGTTACTCCGCGACGCTCAAACGATGCTTGAACAAAAGGAAAAGGAGGGCGGCGCTAAGGCACAGATTCGACAGCTGAAGAATCAGGTTTGTATTATCTACTTAATATTAAGTTATTAATTAGAACTGATCTAAAACGACTACTGAAGTCAATTCAATACGTTTGACTTATGCACGCACTCGTGAATCCTCCATTGTAAGCGGCGCTGATTGCTTACAATCAGGTAATCCGTACGTTCGTGTGAACAAAGTTACCTAAATTTTTACACTGAAACTTTATTATTTATTAATATATATAGCTTATTTGTTCCTCGCTCGTTCCTAGGTGGAGGACTTAGAGCTAGCGGTGCGTGCAGCAACGAAGGCCCGTCAGACGGCGGAGGCGGAGGCGGCGGAGGCCAACGCGGCGCTGGAGGAGGCCAGCCGCGCCCGCGCCGACGCCGCCGACCGCGCCATGGCCGCCGCCAGGGACGCCGCCGCCGCGCGCGCCCAGCTCGACGACGCTGAGGAGGAGGCCGCGGAGGTAACCACCAAATTAGTACTAACTAGCTAAGCTACTGTCGCCCGGTTTCACCTGCTGCTCGACTCGTGATGTTTTATATGATTTGATGAACATCGTAGCTCATCATCAGTGAAAGAATTTTGGCAATCTGACCAGCGGTTCCAAAGATTACCCCCCTACATACAAACTTACAAATTTTACCCTTTAATAATATTATAGTATATAATATTAGTATATATTTATTATGTATATAATATTATTATATAATATTAGTATAGATTTAATGACGATAGCATGCTAGTAAATGGTGACAAATGTATACATTGTGTTAAATAGACATAAACATATACACCTGCATGGCAGTCGCTTCGTTTTTCTTCTTTTTAAACACTACTTATATTATTCGTCGTTCGTGTCCCTGGGATTTGGACACAGTGGATTTCAGTGTTTCGGGGTTTTCATTGTTGTCTACTGTAGATCTTGGACCATAGGACATTGTAGTGGGTTTGTCTTGATAATGAATTAACGTATTTTATAAGCAAAGAACAATTTATTTCCATTTCCATACATTTCAGTTCAGAAATTACGAACGAATAGATACATGTAGGTTAGGTTCAATTAGAGTTGAATTTAAAATTGAATTTGTCTTGGAAAACGAAGATTATTATATTGTTTACATGTAATTGTCTTAGCTCGTCTTCACCGTCTTTTGTCTGGTCTAAAATCCTTGTCAAAGTTTCACATCTTTAATAAAAATCTGCTTCATGCGCCTATCTCTTTCACTCTTCGTACTAGTTCATCATACTTCATCTCTTTCACAACAATTACGTTCTTACATACATTTAAAAAGGTTGTAATATTTAATCATAATACTTGTCATCCCCAGCTACTGAAGAAGTACCGTTCGAGTACGAGCGCGCTATGCGCGGCGCAGGCGGAGGCGCGCGAGGCGTGCGCCCGCGCAGACGCCGCGGCCGAGGAGGCGCGCCTCGCGCGGGACAAGGTCAACGACCTCGCCGCCCGCCTCGCCAGCGCCGAGGCGGGCCACTCGCATGGACACGCTGAGGCTGAGCGGCGACTCGAACTTAGGAATAAGGTAACTACCAACCACCAGGAAACGGGATACTGACTAACTTTTTTTGAAATATAATCCTCACCATCCTTTAAAGTTAGTTATAACGTCACAACTTGCTATTTCAAATAAGAATCATGATGTTTAAAAAAAAAATTGGCCAAATGGAAACCATAAATAAAAATAAAATAAATATAGTTTATTAATCCAAATACTGCACAGACAGTTCAAAATAAAGACTAAATAAAATGTGATAATTAACACTTAATTATATTTTTTTATTATTATTAAATGCATAGATGATTTATGATGATAATTATAAGTCTATGCATACCAAAAAGAATATGAACGCTGACTCTTAAACTAGGAGACCTGTATTTTTACGTCAGTGATGGGCCATGTTCGAGTTTAATAAAAGTGAAGTTTTCTAAAGTGAAGATGTCTATTCTACATACATATTATTATATTTGAAACCTTTGTATATTGTATTACTAATGATACATATGTCTTGCAGGAGTTAGAATCCAGCCTAGAGCTGGAGGCGACAGCGCGCGGCAGACTGGAGGGCCAGCTGTCTCGCCTGCGCGAGGCCCACGAGCAGCTCGCCACCGAGCTCGCCCAGGCGCGAGCTAGGGAACAACATGCCGCCGACGAACTGCGCAAGTTTACTAGACAACTAAGGTATATACAATTGTGTATTCTCATTTTTATGTGTTGGTATTTTCTATTATCGCAAAAGCGTCCTTCTCAAACTTTTTTATATGTGTACTAGCTGATCCTATTTTTTTAAATAAGTATACAAAATTATATTTTTCAAACTTTCTGAGAGATTTTCTATATATTTTTTTTCGTAAGAACCTTCCACAGAGTATTAAAGAGTACAAAATTGAAAACTACAAGACACGCCTAATGTTATTACAGGGAACTTAAAGAAGAGAACAGCGCTCTGCACGGTAAGCTGAGTGAGGCCAACCGGGCCAAGGCGGCCGCGGAGTCTGCCGCGGCGGCCGCCTCCGCCGAGGCCTGCGCCGCGCGGGACGAGGCCCGCCTCGCTGCGCGCCGGGCCACTGCGCTGCAGGAGGCCATCGCTGGGGACCTGTCCAGTCCTGGGGACTCCAGGGATACTGACAGGTAATAAAACAATAATTATTATTTACTATTATCATAGTGATTTTTTTTTATATGAGCAACACTGGTTTTTTCCTGTGTTGCCAGTTGCAAAACAAAATAAATTAAATGTCAAATATCCTGTAACACTAACAATATTTTTTCTATTTACAGTGACAACGACAGCTACAGCTCGGACGAGTCAATCGGCACCTTCCTGGCAAACCACAAACTCAGCCCCTCCGCGCCCTCCAGGAACAGCGTACAACTAGACACACAGAAGTAAGTTTAATTATCTAAACACAATAATTTAATTATTAATATGTTCTCTGTCTTAAATATTTTTAAACCAACATTCCTTCGGATTTTAGAAAAGACTTCCAACTCTCGCGCGGTTTTACCCGCTACTTGTCTCCATTTGACCGAAGCGTGATGTTTTATAGCCTACAGCACTCAAGAACATTCGCACTCGTATCATAAAAGAATTTTGGCATTCCAACCAACGGTTCTAAATATTTCCCCCTACATAAAAACATCATTTAACTTATAAAATTAGTATAGGGATAGATTACGATAGTGAACAAGTATAAGGCGCCATAATGCTCATTTATGATAAGATTTTAATATGTTATTAATGTCATCCATCTCCGCCAGATCCCAATCATCCGGAGGCCGCGAGAGTCGGTCCAGCGTCGGCTCAAGCAAGCAGATGAGTCCCACGAAGGAATCGTTCGCATAACAGGAGGCGGGCGGCGCCGGCGCCGGCCTGCTGACGCGCGCGCTGCCCGCGCTCTGCGCCGTCTTCTGCGGGAACCATGCCGCCGCGCCCGCGCCCCATACCCTGCTACACTGAACGATAACTCACGCCAATCATGACACCTGTCAACTATGACACCTGTCAACTATGACACCTGTCAACTATGACACATGTCAACTATGACACCTGTCAGATATGACACCTTTCAAACATTGGCGCCTAAAAGTGTGTGAGAACAGAGACTCCTCAGTGCGAATGAAATGAATAATGCATGTGCACCCCATACCAGCGATGATTATTATTAAACAATGTAGCAACGGTACTCTACGCATGGAATTCAATGTAACGATGGCTCCTAAATTAGACTGCTCAGTAAAACAATAATATTACACTTTTGAAAGTCATTATTACTATACAATAATCGATTTATACATTCGTAACTTTCATGTATTCATAGAAAAGGCTTTTGATATGAAATTATTAACGCGTTTGATAAAAATGTTTAGGTAATTCAGTGTATTTAGTAACAGATGGCGCTGGTGTCCTGGTCAGTGTTGCCAGGTTTAAAAATGAATGCATTCCAGATTTAAGAATATCTTTAAATAAAGAAGAACTTCTGAGTACTACAACGCTGGCGCCATTATACCTAGGCTTGGACTTTAATTTATTTAGCGTAGAATTATTAGGGAATTAATTAATTGTTTAGGGATCGCGCGGCGACCGGCCAGCCAGTCAGTATTTAGACGGCCTAGTGGCGTGTAACTTACAAAATAATATTAGGTTCTTTGTTATTTAGTTAGCTAACTTTTGTAAATAACTAGATGGCATATACATTTTTATTATTTAATTTGTAATATTCGTGTGATCAGACTGTTATACTATGATTTATTTGTTACAAATGAGTTGTTGCTTTATCGTAGACTTGAAACATATCTAATAGTTAAATAGAACATGTTTTTTTTAAACTCCATTCATGACTGGTTTGTTTTATAGTAATTATTAATATTAGAATGATTATCTTAAAAGTATGTACTCCTCAATATAGCGTTTCTTGTAATTGTATACTCCATTACTCTCTATATGTCTCTATGTCTGTAACCAATTTATCAAATTATCTAATTATTATGTGTACGTACTATAATGTGATGAAATGTTACTGCATTCAATACTGGTTGTAAAATGAAATTATTTAATAAAGTAACGAAAATATACGTTTTTGTTTTATTTTTTGTGTTGGCAACTCCACTTATTAAACGTCAGATGGTTTCAAATAAACTGCTCAATAATGAAACTATACTTTGATCTAAAAAGCAATGGTTCTTGTCCACAAACCCCAAAAAGGGGCATTACAGATTGTTCTCCTAGTATTTAATAATATCTAACATGTGTCTGAATTTGTTGACTACATCCAGTCAGTGCTTACTTCCAACTTACTTCCAATTAAGGACAGTCCTAAATAGGTACATAGAGGGATATCATTGGGTTAACATATATATTCTAACAGACCTTTTCATCTTTTCGAAGAGAGATTTTTCAAAAAGAAGTGCTTGGCATAATATATTTCGTCACAATAAAAATGATGTTAGGGTCATAGGGTATGAGGATGATATGATTGAGTTGGGAGGCGTTCGTGTATGTATGTGTCATGTTCGTGAACGGCAATTGGGACTGGTCAGCTCTAAACTGCCTATATAATTTATATTGCCCTACAGTTTTTTTTTTATTATTATTTGTAGAACTATTAGTGTTACAATGATCTAATGACACCAACTCAATAATGTTACAAAGAAACTGATTAAAAAATAGGAACAATGGAGTTTCCTGCTTTTTCTTATTCTTCAAATCAAATCAAACAACTTCACTGAAAGAACTTACCGACAGACTGACAATTTTGCATCTTTTTTGACGTTAAGAAATGACCATTGTGCTCTAAATAAAAGAAATGATTTAACTTTGACTTTTGATTGTATGAAAATTAAAACCTATTACCCCTAATTACAAAAAAAAATATACCTTTAGTCTAGGTTTAAACCGTTACCTAAGTCAGATTTTGAATTTTGATTCCTATATTCACCTACCTTTAATTCGAATTACAAAAAATAGCTCAATGGTCTAGACCTAGGGTAAAGAAAAACCTTGTTTTATAATAAGATTTAGTCCATCCGATGATTGTTCGATTGGTCTACCGTGGCCCGTTAATTTTTGCAATGCCTCTTCATGACTATTATAATACGTGGCAATTCGAGATAAAATAGAAAAACAATAGGTGCGCGAACGCCTGCGTTCGCTTAGGGTTTTGATAAATTAATTTATTGTGTATTAGCGTGGTTGACGCTCGGGTTCGATTCCTGCACATGTAAACTCTTTCTCTTCAGGGTCTGGGTGTAACTAATGTGTAAAGTTAATCTACATGTAAACGCATCCATATCGCAGGAGAAAAGAAATAGTAGAGAGGGGGGCAACGCTCATTGAAAACGTGTTATGTATATTTGCTTTCATACTTTGATATCTACCTATGTAATATATGTTTCGACCCGGTATTTAGTTTTGATGGCCCGGTAGGTACTGAAACGCAACAACTACATTTGGAAAACGCTAAGTTAGAGAATACAGGATTGTTAGACAGGTATTTTTATTCAATCGTACAAGATTTAAGTTTAGTTTAAAAGTCGTGGTGGCCCGGAGGATAAGGAGCCCGCTTCTCATGCATGAGGGTGTGGGTTCGAAACCTTGCAAGTACCAATGTGACTTTTTCCGAGTTATACTTATGTACTTTTTATGATTATTTAGACACCACTGACATACGGTGAAGGTAAACATCGTACATCGTAAGAAACCTGGACTTATAATTTCAAAATGAAAACCCGAATGAGGCTGTACATGGCTCGGTATTTATTTAGCGCCCGCATACAGAATGACAAAAATAATGTAGTGAAATAAACGCAATAGTAGTCGAGTTTTAAAATATAAGGAAAATAAAGAATATTGAGGCTTTGCGATATATACTATGTGAACATTTAAAAGCAGAGGAAATAAGGACATTCGAGGATTTTCGTAAAGAAGTTGTTAAAAGTAAAGATGTGAATGCAAAAATTTTGTTTAGGTACTATGGTTCAAATCTCCAAAAAATAAAAAGATAAATTAAAAGCTTGCGCGTGGCAACCCTCGTTGTAGTTTTTTATTTAGCAGTGAGAACGTTTTAAAACTGACTAAACAAGGTAATTTTTTTTAAGAATCACAATCTTTCGCTTAAACAGCTTAGCTTAGAAGAAATTTCTTACAATGTATTTGATTTGTCATCATAAAAATGGTGAACTAGGTCATTTGGTGTTAATTTCTAAACGTAAAACCTTTTAATCCTATGTAATCATAGTTATGTGAAGTACAAGAAAATTTTAAATCGATTGTTATTTTTTGAGCATCGATGTATCAATCGGTATGATTAGTCAAAATGTATTCGTATTTTCATCTATTATTCGCGTAAAATTTTCTTTTGAAAATGAAATATCATAAGGCAAATTTTTATTCTGTTGATACTTTTTTTCTTTACACATTACCAGTTAATTAATCGGTTGCGACCTCCTTAGTCGAGGCCATAGTGGGGAGCGAGAGGAACTGGGAAGTTGTCTCCTCTTTCTGTGAAGCAGTCATGCTCGCAAAGAAGGAGGCGGACTGCGTGAGGGAGCTCTCCTCCTCCTCACGCCCCAGCCGCCGCAGTAGGCGACACCCTGGGCGTCGGGAATCAAGAGTCCACAGTGAGCGGGGGTTTACGGACGGCGGGTAAGGGTAGCTCGCCGCCCGATCAGACCCGAGTCAGTGCGTATCGATCCGCGTGCGCCTCAAAAAACCAATAGAACACTACAGATGGGGCCCTATAGGGCTGGTGTTTAGCCAAGGTTACAAGTCAAGCGCATTGAGGCACCGCGGCTTCGGCACAAAGCAGGAGAAGGAACAAGGGTGTTTGTCAGTAAGAGTTTGACACTCTCTCCAGCCTTACCCTGGGCGGGAGAAGTCATTTGATGATTTTCCCCTGATAAAAAATATAAACAATCATAACATAACATAATTAATAATTATTATTATATTCCTAGTTTATAACTTTCAAACACTTGCATTTAATTTCAGAATAAAAATGGCGTATATTATTTCGATTACTAGAGGTAATCGATTTCAAGGCAAATCGAATAATTGACATTGACATAGGAAATATATTTTCTATCTCAATGGTGCACACTGCCCATCACTAATATTGTTACGCCCCTTCGTCGTGTCAAAAGTGCGTTTGCAAGTTTTATTTCATTTACTTTACAATATTTCAACAATTTATTTGTTATTTGCATTTACTTAAAGTTCTTACTTGTAGTTCTCTCATATTATAAATTATTTTAAAGTATTTTTACTGTATGATGTACTAAATCAATGCCGCAAACTTCCTGTCAAATTCACTTCACTTGATATTTTATCGATTTTGTAGGTCGGTGTCACAAATAAATAGTTTTATCATCATCAAAAATAAGAGAAATATTGGTATAAAACAGTCAAGATGACGGATTCAAAGTACTTTACTACGACGAAGAAGGGAGAGATATTCGAACTAAAATCGGAGCTGAACAGTGATAAAAAGGAAAAAAAGAAGGAGGCAGTCAAAAAAGTAAGTTTTATACAGTAAAACTGTGACTAAAAACATCCGTTTCAGCCTTTTTATCGTATAAAACTTGTGTAAAAATACCCAGAAAGTCATACAATCCACCTACTGATTACAACTATTACAAGCACAACTTTCGTCAAATTGATGACAAATCATTTGTCAATAGGATATCACATTTCCTATTTGGCTTAATTCTGATTACTCCAGGTTCCAAAAACATTAAAACTTGACTTAAAAACCTGAAACTAGACTATGCTATTGCATAAGTCCTTTTTTATGTAAATGGTTTGAAGTTCATTCTTATAAGACATTTAAAAGATATCTGATGACCTTTTTAGAGAATCCTTTATGGTTATTCTGGATAATTGGTTGAACATTCTTGTAATAAGAAACAAGTTTTTATTACTTACAATGAATATTTGAGCACAAGTTTTAATAATATAATCTGTGCATTACATTAAAGACAAAAATATGAAAACAGAAAGTTGAAAGTAGGTTTTATTCTACTTTTAATCTCATGTCTGCCACTATAATATGAGAAATAATAGAAAAAACATTGTATCTTGCTTGGATGTGCACTCTGACATACCACAGTCTAAACTATTTCAAAGAACAAAACATATAGCCTCATCTCATGTAAGACATGTAACAGCTAAATTATCAAATTAAAATACACTTTGCAAGTCTGACTTTCTCTGAACTCTGGTGAAACAAAACAATACAATAGAACTTTATCTACTTATAAAATTAAATAACATGAAACCTATATTGTTATAACATTCTCCAGGTCATAGCATCAATGACAGTTGGCAAAGATGTGTCCGCATTATTCCCCGATGTCGTAAACTGCATGCAGACCGATAACTTGGAGCTGAAGAAGCTGGTCTACCTGTACCTAATGAACTATGCCAAGTCGCAGCCAGATATGGCCATCATGGCAGTTAATACTTTTGTCAAGGTATGTACCGTGTAATTTACGTAGCTTGTGATTGTGTGTACTGAAAGTTTGTTCGGAAAATGCTATGTTAATGTTTCAGAGTGCAATGTTTATTGGTTATTTTGTTGTTGTCTATTAAGGTCATAATTATGGCATCAGAACTACATGTATGCATCATAAATAAATAAAATGAAAAGCCCTATAATTCCCACTTTACAAAAAAAAAATTTACACTTCCAAAAAAATATATTTTATATTAAGTTTAATTTTAGGAACCCCTGAGGCAATGGCCTCCTCCAGAGACTGCCATTTTTCTCGATTTTTTGTTGTATCTAGCCAGCGTATACAGCCGCGCGCAAGGTATCGTGTACCTATGTGTAATAAGCATTTGAAAATCTCAAAGATGTTTAAGTACTTACTACAATCTCTGAAGATCTGACATTGATTAAAATTCTTTCAGTAAAAGTTTTTTTCAAAATTTTCTCTAGTAAAAGAAATTTAGAGGTTATTGACAAATATGGATTTACTTATTTTATTTTTATTTAAGCATACATATATTATTATACACACATCAGAATGTTGTGAGTTTAATAGGCAGTTTTATCACACAGGCCCAGCTTTTCCTGACATTGAGATGTAACATTGAAAATTGAAAATGAACAAAAATGACATTTTTTATTAATCTCAAGCATTAAAATATCATTTACCGAACAACAAACTTTTGTGTGATTTAAATTATCAACTGACAATAAATCTGCATGGGTTGTGAACAGTCATACCTAAATTTTGAGCAAACCAAAATTATTTTTCCAATTAATATTTGAAAAAAGTTTTTAAGCATGGCAAATGTTGCCCCTTACAAAACTGTTATAATAATCCTGTTATTTAGTATCTGTACTAATAATAACTACTTTTCGTAGTTATTTTTGTGTGTGACATGTATTTTTTTATCGTTTTTAATGTCAACTGTACCTTAATGATGGGTGGAAGGATCTACCAACATACCAGCTTGTTAAGGTAAACTAAATGATCCAAAGAAACCAGAGCCAAATCATCTGATTGTAGATTTACACATTGGTTTTTTTATCAAATTAAGAAAATATTTAATATATCAAAAATTTTTTGATCAGTTTTTTGATCCATACTGTATAGTTGTGGTGAAATTTCTGTTAGACATTTTACTACATATTTTATGACAAAATATTACCAATACAAAAAATGCTTTGAATTTAGAAAAGAGATCAGATGTTTACTGTGATTGGTTTAAATATATTTATGTAAAAATTTATAAAAGAAATGATGTATTTCCGATGTTCCTATAAAAGAATGACCAAAACTTGATTACTTTTTATTAATTCCTGATATACTTCTTGTTCTTTACAGGCAGTTAACAAATGATATCATAAAAAATAAAAATGGCCTAACAGAAATTTACCATAAAAAACTATTCAAGCACTAAATTACCCAAAAACTCCACCCTGCATGCAATAGCAGACCAATTATTGCATGATTATTATACACAGTACTATTATTAATAATAATGACTATTAAAATCTTATAAATAATAATTATTACCCTACACTTGGCACGTAAAATGTGTAAATCTACATACAAAAACTCAATAAATCAGTTAAAAAAAACAATATGTATGAAAATCCATGCCTCATACCTTATTATGAATAGAAGCACATCGGCTGTATTATTTTATTATTATTATTATATTATATCCCATATTAATTACGTAATGGAAACTTTTTAGTCAAGACCTCTAGTTATCAGTTATTGGGTCTATTTAAAAAAAGTTAAATTATAAATTAGTTCTTCAACATTCGTTTCATCATATTTTTTACCAGCATATAAACAAATGAAGTTAAGTATTTTCAAATAATTACGTTGTGTTAGCAGTCAACAAGCTAGTAATTCTTTGGTTTTAAACGCCCCCTATTTTTTCTTAATGGCCTCCTATTGTAGCAGGTCTCTTTCCTTATCAATTGCATTCACAAATCACATCAGAAGATCAATGCACTCTAGACCGGTTCCCACAAACCTTAAAAAAGTGTACTTACATACTTTGGTCTTATATTAAATTAGCTACTTACTCTCTCACGGTTTCATCCGCTGCTTGGCGCCTACAGATCTTAGAGATGTTTGATAGCCTATATCCTTCCTCTATAAATAGACTAGTAAACACAAAAAGAATTTTTCAATTTAAACCAATAGTTCCTGAGATTAGCGCGTTCAAACAAACAACTCTACACCTGTATAAAAGACTAGCTACTGTCGCGTGGTTTCACCCGCTGCCCGGCTCTTCTTGGTCGTAGGATGATGTTTTGTAGCACTCAGGAACATTGTAGCTGTAGTTTAATGAAATAATGACCTTGATTGAAATTTGATAAGTATATAATAGGTGATAACGTGGATATAATACAGATTAAGTGTGTGAGAGCCAAGCTTCGGCACGAATGGGTCGGCTCGACCGGAGTGATACCACGGCCTCACAGAAAACCGGCGTGAAACAACCACAGTGTTGTGTTTCGCCGTGTGAGTGAGGTTACCGGAGGCCCAATCCTTCCCCTTCCCTAATCCATCCCCAGTTCCTAAATCTCCAAATCCCTAATCCCTAAAAGGTCGGCAACGCACTCGTAACTCCTCCGTTGCGGGTGTCCATGGGCGGCGCTGATTGCTTACCATCAGGTAATCCGTCTGCTCGTTTGCCGACCTGTTGCAATAAAAATAAAAAGATGTCTAGCCTAGAAAGTTTCTAATACGCAAACAAAACAACCGCTTATACATAGTAAAATTGCTTCAGTGTAATTGATGTGTCGCTTCTCTTTTCTTTTTATACACAATACCGACACTACGGTTACACCTTCAGGACTGTGAGGACTCCAACCCATTGATCAGAGCCCTGGCTGTACGGACCATGGGCTGTATCAGAGTGGACAAGATCACTGAATACCTGTGTGAACCGCTCCGCAAGTGCTTGAAGGATGAGGACCCATATGTCAGGAAGACTGCTGCGGTTTGCGTTGCCAAGTTATATGATATCTCTTCGAGTATGGTTGAAGATCAGGTGAATATGGATTTTTATTCTTGTTCAATCCTAGTGCTGCAGTTTACACATGGACTTACTTCCAGTTGTACAGTCTCTTTTGTGCTTCAAGACAGCAGGGGACAGAATGACTTAATCCAGAAGTGGATTAAGTCATTCTTAAGCGGAAACTATTTCGTTTATTTTCTCCTTAAATAATATCTTCTGATTTATTTCGTTGCGGGATCCAAGACAGACATTCATGTCCTTGGGACGCGCCGGACTTCAGTGTTCCGGTGTTTTCATGGTTGTATCTACTGTAGATCCTGGCTTACAGGAGTTGCAGTGCTATAGCGGGCTTGTCCCATTTAACAATTATTATTTAATCCTTGAACACCGGCCATGCACTAATTAATAATAACTTTATGGCTTACTAACGTAACCCTTTGACGGAATAGCTCGACTAGTTTCAAGCGCCACTAAGGCTCAAACTCATGAGTAGCATTGCCCAACAAACAGTATCGATAACGGCGCACTAAGTATGCCGTAAAACAAAATTATTTTGATCTGTGTAACAAGGTATTTATTGCATATGTGTGATATTAGTGATATTAGCACCTTTGCTCATTTAATAACCCTAAAATTAAAAAACTTTTAGACCTCTACAGAGCAAAGAGGTTTCGTTTATTTCATTTTCAAAATTTTTCTATAGATTAAAAGACAAAAATTAATGTTATATTATTTCACAGGGTTTCTTAGACCAGTTGAAGGATTTACTGAGCGACTCCAACCCTATGGTAGTGGCCAACGCGGTCGCCGCGCTATCCGAGATCAATGAGGCCAGTGTGTCGGGACAACCTTTAGTTGGTGAGTTATATTTTTTCATGGGGTAGGCAATCAAGCAGACGGGTTACCTGATGGTAAGCAATCCACACCGCCCATTAACACCCGCAACACTAAAGGAGTTCCGAGTGCGTTGCTAGCCTTTTGGGGTTAAGGGTTTTGGATATTTAAGAATTGGGAAGGGATGGGAAGACGGGGAGGCATTGGGTTTCTGGTGATCTCGTTTATACGGCGAAACATACCGTAAGTGTTGATTCAAGCCAGTATTCTGTGAGGCCGTGATATCATTTCGGTCCTGCCGACCCATGTCGAGATGTGTATCTGTAAAAACACCCAAGACACAGGAGTAATTCTTTTATATCGTTTATAAATCTAAAAAAAAGGTTAGAAATTTTTTTATGTCAAAATGCAGTACAAAAGCTGTTTTTTTTTCTTTTCTAAATAAAACGTTGCCCCACATTAGGATTTTCTCCTGTCGTGGGTGCGTTTACAAACATACAATTCCACATGCACATCACACCCAGACCCGGAACAACAATTTGTGGATCACACAAAGAGTTGTTCCGTGCGGGAATCGAACCCGCGACACGTTGCACGGCAGCTAGTTGCCCAGTCACCGCGCCAACCTTGCAGTCAGTTGTTTTAAATATGAAAAAGAGTTTCACACATTTTACCGGATCGGTGAAAAAATATTAGGCTTAATATCTACTTATAATGATGCAAAAATATCATTTAAAATGATGTTTTTAAATGTCGCCATATCTAAATATAGGTTATTGTCATGTAACTAAAAAGTAACCAATTATGTAAAGCTGTTACTGGCTGGCTTCCAAATGTTGGATCGTTATAGTAAGATGCCAAAATAAATTCCATTCATTCATTATTTTAATATGTTTCTATTTTCGTTTCACTGGAAACTATTTTGTTTTGAAATTTGTTTTATTCGTACATTTGTATTATATTTTTCTACCAACCTATTTGCTCAAAAAAAATACTAATTTGTCGAAAATACTTTACCCTAGTTAAAATATTTAAAAACCAACCAACCAAATAATTCAAGTTTTAAAAAAAGTTTAGGGCAAACTTTTGTATTATAAAATGAAAAGTTGGTTGTTTGGTTTTTTAATATTTTTCTGTTTCTAAAAACGCTACCAACACAAGGGTTTTATCATGTATCGTGGCAGCGTTTACAAACATACAATTCCACATACACATCACACCCCGACACGTAATCACACACAGAGTTGTTTCGTCCGAGAATTGAAACTACTCCACGGCTAATCGCTAACCACTAATCGGCTCCCGCGCCTTACACGGGAGCCGATTGCCAGCCATTGCGCCAACCGAGGATTAGAATAAAATAGAATATAATTATTTATTTGCTCAGCATGTAGGTAATTAATACAATAAGGTGTTACAATATTTTCGATCCTTATACAGTCTAACTTAAATACATCCTTGAAATGTACGGTTGGTGCGGTGGATGGACAACTGGCTGCCATGCAACGTGTCGCGGGTTCGATTCCCGAACGGAACAACTCTTTGTGTGATCCACAAATTGTTGTTCCGGGTCTGGGTGTCATGTGTATGTGAAATTGTATGTTTTAACCGCACCCACGATACAGGAGAAAATGCTAATGTAGGGCAACGTTTAACAAAAAGAAAATGAATTATTTTTTGTAAAAAGCATTTTGTAATATAATAACTTTGTTCAACAGAAATGAACGCACCTACAATAAACAAGTTGCTAACGGCTCTGAATGAGTGCACGGAGTGGGGGCAAGTGTTTATACTGGATGCCCTCTCGAACTACTCCCCGAGGGACGCGAGGGAAGCTCACTCTATTTGCGAGAGGATCACCCCGAGGCTCGCTCATGCTAACGCTGCCGTTGTACTATCGGCTGTCAAGGTAAGGGTCAACCGCAATGTAGCACCATGTTCTCGACCTAGACCTGGAGAAGGAACTGGGTGTTTTTAGTCAGTAACAGTCAAACACAGTGTGTGTTGCCATATCTTGGGCGAGTGATGCCATATGACGATTATCTCTTCGCAAAAAAAGTAAAGTAGTGCGAACATCGAAAAATGGTGCTTGTTCATACTATATACCTAGTTAAATATGTAATTGGTCTTTTTTATCTATATAGTAATATTATAAAGAGGTAAGTTTTTATGTAGGGGGTAATCTTTGGAACCGCTAGTCGTATTTCCAAAATTCTTTCACTTATAGATAGTTACAAAGCGGAGCCGAGCAGCGGGTGAAACCGCGCGAGAGTAGCTAGTTATAAATAATTCAACACTATAGGTTTAACGAATTTATTACTCATTAAAAACAATACATAGTTCACTTAATAATGAGCTTAACTAAAAATAACAAATATATGTAATTATAACATACAGCGATCGAGCAATTTTTTTATAAACATTATCATAGTCATAGTTTTTTAATTTAGTTGTAAACACTGCAAGCGGTTAACTTTCCTTAATGTTATTTGGTAGATTATTATACAATTGTGCTCCTTCATAATAGGTCTTTACCTATGAAATAGCCGTTCTGCAGTACTGGCCATTTCAAATCAAAATATTTTTTGTTAGGCTAAGGCTAATTAATTTTGTTTTAAAAACATGGATTCTTTTTCCAAAAGTAGTCGTTTGTTTATTGATTAGTGTTACATTTTCATCGCATTTCAAATTAAAAAAATTAGTTTAATTTTTTTCATGCAAAACGGCAATTTCATAGATAAAGACCTATTATTAATACTAACCAACTAATCCACCAACCCTTCACTTTCAGGTCCTAATGAAACTAATGGAGATGGTATCGGACGACACGGAGCTGGTCAGCACGTTGTCCAGGAAGCTGGCGCCTCCGCTGGTGACCCTCCTCAGTGCTGAGCCGGAGGTCCAGTATGTGGCACTCCGGAACATCAACCTCGTCGTGCAGAAGCGACCTGATATCCTAAAGCATGAGATGAAGGTACACCTTATAGTGATAGGTATTTTACGATTTTGTTGTAATGAAAAACATGGCCTGTTAATTTTACACCGCGTTAATAGAATCTCGCTTTGTGCGTATTTTCATCGTTTTGTTCTTGTGTCATGGGTGAGCAAATGACCAGACGGATTACCTGGTGATTAAGCAATTAGTGCTGCTCATGTACACTCATAATATCAAATGAGTTACTCACACGGCGAAAAACAACGGTTTTCTGTGCGGCCGTGGTATCCTCTACCCCCATCCCTCGATCTCACGTGAGATTTTCCATTTTTTTTTCAAACCTATGCTTCGGTACGTCTGTACCGAAGAACAGTTCTCCCATGTTTTTTTCTCTTAAAAAAAGTTGTCCTTCCATAAGATTTTCTCCTGTGTCGTGGGTGCGTTTACAAAAATACAATTACACATACACATCACACCCAGACTCGGAACAACAGTTTGTGGATCACACAAAGAGTTAAAAAATAATTACATAAAGTGTCTAAAACAGCACTCTTGTCACATTTTCCAGGTCTTCTTCGTGAAGTACAATGACCCTATCTACGTAAAACTTGAGAAACTGGACATTATGATCCGGCTAGCGTCGCAGGCAAACATCGCGCAGGTGCTCGGCGAGCTCAAGGAGTACGCCACTGAAGTGGATGTAGACTTCGTCAGGAAGGCTGTCAGGGCCATCGGACGATGTGCTATCAAGGTTAGTAAAACGATCTTTTGAATGCTATTTTTTATCTACGGGTTTGCCGGATCAAGCGCTATAATATACCGGTTTGATATGTAAAACGAAGTCACAATTGAAACGCTTTTTTTTTCAATAAACAGATACCTGATAATTATATCGCCATCAGGTTTCAATAATCCACTTATGTAGACTATAGATGCATTAACGACATGTGATTCGATTTGTCAGCAATCAGCGCCATCCATAAATAAATAAGGATTTGAACAAAGGAGTTACTACTAAGACATAGTTATTAACGCGGAAAATAATTATTTAAATACCTTGGTAGGCATGACGTTTCGACCCGGTTGCACAGGTCGTGGTCACAAGTTGAATACCCGCGTAATACGGTAGTGTCCAACTAGTCAAATTCAATACTTTTATCCAAAAGTCAAAAACGATACTTTTATATGAAATTTGTATGAAAAACTGAGCTATGACGTCATAACTTTTTTGCGTCAAATAGCTTACTTATTTCTTAATAATTAGCTAAAAAAAAACTAAAACTTAGTGTATCGATCGATCGATGAATAAAAGTATAGTTATTTTTCAATATTTTTTTGTATTGAAACGTCGAAATAATTTATTTTTGACCTAGGAAACTACCCAATTATATTATGTCTTAAAGTTTAAAAGTTAGCGTTGCTACTAAACAACTAGCTACAAGTACGTAGCCGACGTGTGAGCTGTGAGTTGTTATGGATATACAGATGGGGGTTTTGAGAAATGAAGTTGTTAGGAAAGTTTTTTTTAGTTATTATATTGTATCAACCACATTTCAATGCCTAAATTCTTTGAGTGTTAGCAACTGAAACAAAGAGCTTTTTATTTTTATAATTTCATGCAGTGTAAATTATATTAATAATTTAGCTATGGGTATAGGCATATATATATATAATTTATAATTTATATATATACATAATTTAGCTATATATAGAGATAAAACTTATGACAGTTAAACACTTGTGTATTGCCGGCCTTTTCGGGTTAAGTACCTCAAGGTTTAAAGGTTTTTTGAGATTGGAGATCGCGATGGGGGAGGATTACTATGTAAAAAAAAATATGAAATATCTTTATCTAAAGCCAATTCGATTTCCAGGTGGAACCGTCAGCTGAGCGTTGCGTCTCAACACTCCTGGAGCTCATCCAGACCAAGGTGAACTACGTGGTGCAGGAAGCCATCGTGGTCATCAAGGATATCTTCAGGAAGTACCCCAATAAATACGAGAGTATCATCAGCACTCTATGTGAGAACCTCGACACGTTGGACGAGCCTGAAGCTAGAGCTTCCATGGTAAGTTACTTTTTGAGGTTGGTTTTTGGATGGGTGGACGTTTTACAAAGTTACATTTAGGATAAATTTGAATGGTTGACTAGCTAACTTCTACAGATTGTAGCGGGATGTTTCATAGCCTATAGCCTTCCCCGATAAATGGACTAACAAACACAAAATAATTGTTCAGTTCAAACCAGTAGTTCCAAAGATTATCGCGTTCAAACTGACAAACAAACTCTACAGCTTTATTATATTATCTTCTATAATATAAAAATGAATCGCGAAATGTGTTGGTAAGCGCATAACTCAAAAACGGTTGGACCAATTTTGCCAAATCCTTTTGTTTTGTATTTATTATTGTTAGAAGAAGGTTCTTATGTGAGTAAATATTAGAAAAGTAGAGGGGAAAATTGGGAAAAAGGGACCCTTTCGTTGTTAGCGAGATAGTTGGTCCCGCGCGAAACGGGGGTGGGCCGCTAGTATAGTATAGATTGGTTGACTTATTTGTTTACATTATGATTTTAAAGATTCGGGTTCTTTTTTATTAATTAATTTTATAGACGGTTTGATCAAACATGAACATGCCACCCTCATAGGCCTTACAAAATTAATTTACCTACGCTTAATGCCTAATTTAACTAGTTTATAAATTAATTTTGCCTCAACTGACAGAGGACGGGCCAGAATCAAGTTACATGTGCCCACTTCCCTTAGTACCACAAAGATTCGGGTTTGATATCCATTTACCCCCTTATTACAAAACAAGGTTTATCTTTAGTCCAGGTTTAAACCATTGAGTCGGGTTTTGAATTTTGAATCTTATTGTCATCTACCTTCAATTCGAAATACAAAAACGGGCTCGATGGTTTAGTCCTAGACTCAAGTAAAACCTTGTTTTGTAATAAGGCCGTTAGAGCATAGTATTAAATTGGGTCTTTTATGACACAAAAATTCAATACATTATATTTTATTCAAATTTGTTCTAGGTATGGATCGTGGGTGAATATGCTGAGCGTATCGACAACGCTGATGAGCTGCTCGACTCCTTCCTTGAAGGGTTCCACGACGAGAACGCACAGGTAATTTGTAATATTAAACTTACTTTCCCCTACCAACAATATTATTTTAAAGACACATTAGGATACATTGGTATTTTCTCCTGTGTCATGAGTGCGTTCAAAAATAAACAGATTAACATTACGTCACACCTAGACCCGGAACAACAATTTGGATCACAAAAAGTGTAATTCCGTGCGTAAATGGAACTTGGGACACGTTGCTCATCAGCCAATACGGTAGTTTCCAACTAGTCAAATTCAATATTTTTATCCAAACGTCAAAAACGATACTTTTCTATGAAATTTGTCAAACAGCTTACTTATTTCTTAATAATTAGCTAAAAAAAAATCTAAAATTTAGTGTATCGATCCATCGATGAATGAAAGTATAGTTAATTTTCAATATTTTATTGCATTGAAACGTCGAAATAATTTATTTTTGACCTAGAAAACTACCCAATTGCCCAAACGTACAATCAAAATTAAATTCTTAAAAGCATGGTTGAAGAAGGCTAATAGAATATTTTTCCGTGTGACAGGTCCAGCTGCAGTTGCTGACGGCGGTGGTGAAGCTGTTCCTGAAGCGTCCAGCCGACACGCAGGAACTGGTCCAGCATGTACTCAGCCTCGCCACGCAGGACTCCGACAACCCCGACCTCAGGTCAGCATACCGATACTAGTATATTGTGGGAAAGCCAACCTTCGACACGAATGGGTCGGCTCGACCGGACTGATTCTACGGCCTCACAGAAAACCGGCGTGAAATAACCACAACGTATCGTTTCGCCGTATAATTGGAAATTATAAGTCCAGGTTTCCTCACGATGTTTACCTTCACCGTATGTCAGTGGTGTCTAAATAGTCATAGAAAGTATATATACCTCGGAAAAAGTCACATTATAACAACATTTATTTTTTACTTATCATCCAGGGACCGTGGCTTTATCTACTGGCGTCTTCTATCCACGGACCCGGCGGCCGCCAAGGAGGTAGTGCTGGCCGACAAACCCCTCATCTCGGAGGAGACGGACCTCCTGGAGCCGACCCTGCTGGACGAGCTCATCTGTCACATCAGCTCACTAGCCTCTGTGTACCATAAGCCACCCACTGCTTTCGTTGAAGGTAGGGATAGAAATAACTTATTGATTTTTTGAGCAGGGAAAATCGTCCAAAGTCTTTCTCTCTCTCTCCAAAGTCTTCAAAAGTCTTTCTCTCTTTAGCCTAGGGTGAGAGGAAGTGTCAGACTCTTACTGACTAACCCATCTCCTGCTCCAAGCCGAGGCCGCGGTACTTTATCGCGCTTGCCCCGCAATCTATTGAAAGTCTAATAGGCTAATTATAAGTTAGATATCCATAATTGGGTATTTTTTTCAGTCAAAAATTAATTAATTCAACTTTTCAACACAATTAAATATTAAAAAGTACTAAATTGATAGTAAATTTTCACATCCAAACTAATATTATAAATTCGAAAGTAACTCTGTCTGTCTGTCTATCGATCTATCTGTCTATCTATCTTTTCTTCACGCCTAAACTACTGATCCGATTTCGATGGAACTCGAAAAAGGACATAGGATTTTTATACCTAAAATCTGCAGAAAGTCACTAGGTATTTCACGCAAACGAAGTCGCGTTATTCTATATAAGTGTTAAGGAATATGATTTGACTCAAAAATAAAAATGTGATGACGTCACAATAGTTTATCGCATACAATACAAAATTATTTTTAGTTTTCGACGTTTCGATAGAAGTATTGCAAATTTGTTTGTTCGTCCAGGTCGCGGCGCCGGAGTGCGCAAGTCACTCCCCGCGCGAGGAGGCTCCGCTACTCACGAGGAGCCAGCCCAGCCCACCGTCATACCCAACCAACTTCATGGTGTAAGTCACTATTACATAATATAATATATACTTTATACCTAAAATCTGTAATTTTACAGCACAAGTCAAAATATAATGTTTTGACTTGTGCTGTAAAATTACGCATGTGTGTTTATAAATAAATATCTACACAATATTTTACAGGAGTCTCTCATCGGCGACCTTCTTTCGATGGACATCGGTGGGCCGCCCCCCGCCCCCGCCCCAACATCCAACCTGGACCTTCTGGCTGGCGGTCTCGATGTTCTTGTAAGTAGTATCTAACTTACTTAGAAGCTTAGAATCATTCGGTAATGTAAGTCGAAAGTCATGGTATTATTTATTTACTTTATTTTATTTAAGTATTTATTTATTTAAAAATCTCACCTTATACTATCATTACAGATTTCTCCAATGCGGTAGCTTAGGCCTATAACTAAATCTAAGTACTTATTTACTAATTAAAACCAACATAACAAAATCCAAACGAAATCATACAACACCTTAATTATGAACTAAACTAAAGAATTAAAAACATACAAAGGAAATATAAGGAAAATCATTTACCTATCTTCTTAAACTAAAAATGCACATACCCACCTATAACATAACTTACTTAATCAAAGAGTATGTAATTACTTAATCATTAAAAAACCTAACATTAATTTATAAAAGTAAATTATATAATACTGTCGACACTATAGTCACGAGATCAGCAGTGCAACTACTTACTAAATAACAATAAGTAAAAAACAAATTATATAGTAATCTTAATTAACATTTGAAAAACATAATATATACATCATGGCAGTGTATCGTAAAATTAATAAACGAGATTTGTTTTGGGTTAAGTTTATTTAAATTTTCTTTACGTCAAAAACCTTCTCTAGACTTTACGAATAATCCAAGACCAAAATTAGTCAAATCGGTAAAGGCGTTGTTGAGTTATAACATTACAACGAAAAATGTGATTGATTTTTACATTTATACATATATAGATTTAATTGTCATCGGGTCTGGGTGTAAATTGTACCTGACATTCTGTTTCTAAACGCACCCATTTTACAGGAAAAATAATACCTAATATTTATTTATTTTAATAGGCACACAAAACAGGATATAATCAATAACATAGTCTAATTATTAATTAATATATAAATAATCTTATATATAAAAATGGATCGCAAAATGTGTTGGTAAGCGCATAACTCAACAACGCCTGGACCGATTTTGCTAATTCTTTTTTTGTTGTGTTTGTTATTGTCAGGAGAAGGTTCTTATCAAAGAAAATATTAAAAAAGTAGAGAGCAAGATTAGGAAAAAGTGACCCTTTGATAGCGAGATAGTTGGACCCGTGCGAAGCGGGGGCGGGCCGCTAGTTTGATATAAATACCTATTATTGTACCTAATTATATGTAATGTTATTAAACTTATGTATACCTTCTTTTGCTATGCCCTATCAGGGTCCATAATATGTACCTAAATTTAAGCTCTTAACATCTTTGTGACATTATGGTATGCAAATAAATAAATATGAAAATATGAATATGAACATTACAGAATATCTATAAAATAAGTAAAACAGATCAAGACCGCATCCCTACACATGTGTACACTGCATGATTATTAGGCAATTATGTTATGCAGAAAGTGTTATAATATAAAATATTTAATAACTTAATTAAATTCTTATCAAATAAAAAATGTATATAAGACAATGTTTATAGTTTTTGATAATGAAATGATATTGAATAATTCCGTGTTCCAGTTGGGCGGAGGCCCCGAGCCCGGCCCTACGTCGGGTACGACAGGTCTACTCGGCGATATATTCGGCGTTACTGCCGCCCCAGCATCTTACGTCCCACCCAAACAGTGCTGGCTGCCTGCTGACAAGGGAAAAGGTAACTTATTTACGGTCATTTAGAGTTTGTTTTAGTATAACACATTTTATATACATATAGGTAGTATAATGTTTGTCCAAGCTTGGAGGAAAAAGGTGGAAAGTCATTTCTTTGATGACGCTATGCATCATACTTAATGTTGAGTTATATAATAGCTTCACTAAGAGGACTGACCGACAAACTGACCCTATACCCCAGTTTCCGAAAGGCCGATCAATGTTAAAATCAATTTAATCTCTTGTCAAGTCATATGATTGGTTGACTGAATTATCAACAACCAATCAGATGACTTGACAAAAGATTTAACAGGAGATTAATTTTAGCGTTGACAAGCCTTTCAGAAACCGGGTGTATATCTTCAAAATTTTGTTTGACGTTCAAAAGTGTTTGTAAGGGTCTAATTGGAATAAATGATTTTTGACTTTTTGAATCTAAAGTTAATCGTCAGTCGTCAATGAGATGTATTACACTCCATAGCTAACTTCCATTTTGCTGCAAAAAGTCTAGTTGACTTTTCCAATACCCTTAAATGTAATTAAAATTTTATTATTATGGGAGAGTTATACTTTGGCACGTGTGGCTCGGTTGTACTAAAGTTATCGGAGACCAAATATCCCCCTTCATTCACCCCTTAAATTGCGGCCTTTACACTTAAAAGATCGATCGGCTCGTTTATAAAAATAACTGTAGAATGCAAGAACTAAAATGTATTTTCTCTATCACAGGTCTAGAAATCTGGGGTACATTTAGCAGACAGAACGGCCAGCCTCGTATGGAGATGACGTTCACTAACAAGGCCATGCAAGCTATGAGCGGGTTCGCCATACAACTCAACAAGAACAGGTCAGTATCCTTACTAATATTATAAATCTAAATGTGTGTTTGTTTGTTCTGCTTTCACATCGTAACTGCTGAACCGATTACTTTGAAATTTTGCAAACGTAAAGTTAGAAGTCTGATTTAAATAATTTTTATCCTGGAAATAAATATTTCTGAGGGAAAACAAAAATATTGTTAAAGTACATATGACTCAATGTCACATTACTAGTTTGTACTTGCCAGGTCTGGAATCCGCGCTCACCTACATTTTTTTTCTCTTTTCCTTTTGCAACTTTCATGAATGAGAAGCAGAATGAAGAAGAATGTCATATGGCATTAAGTCCTAACTTCATTTTATTGTGTACAATAAAGCACAAATCCAAACTAATATACATAAATAAAGAAGAAGGCACTGTAACCTCCGGGCTATTACTTCAAATATCTAAGTCTCATGAAGTTAGCCTATTGACATTAACCAAAAAAGATGCAAAACTCTTTAAAAAAAATTAAGTGTTGCCTATGCTATTATTTTTCAGTTTCGGAGTGTTCCCGTCTGGCGGTCTCAGTGTAGGCGCGGTCCCGGCCGGCGCCGCGGCAGAAGCCCCGCTAGCTCTCGCCACTACTGGACCCGTGCAGAGAATGGAACCCCTCAACAATCTACAGGTACATACAATATTATTATAATCTGTGACTTATGTCAATTTTAGGATGTATATCTCGTAGCCAGCTACACCTTTGATTGCAGTAAATTTGAGTAATACCTGCCAGCCTTCCTGTTTATTTGCGATGGCGCTGCGATTTCTGTGCAGTTCACAATTTTAACCTAACCTACCATTCTAGTAGCAACTGGGTTTTCACACATCTGTAAACCCTTTAATTAACAACCTGAATTAGATTTTGCCATTTAATAAAACGCTAGTCATTCAGGCCGTTAGTTGGATGGCTTTTATTTGTCGGCGACACACAAAAAACCATAGAATAAAAAGGATTATGAGGAACACTTCGCGCCAACTCATTGAAATAGCAACTCATTAATATACTCCTTACACCTACAAAGTCTAACTAACTCGCTAATGCGCCGTATCGCCCAAGATATTCGGTTAAACACTACCGCTGAGTTTTAACGCAAACCTCTGCCATTGTAGCCATTAGAACTTTGGAGTACTCTAGAGAGTTATGTTGCATTATCGGGAAGATCCTACGTCCAAGCGAGATAGTATTGGGATTTTCTATACGTGGTTCGCGCGCAAATTTCTCTTGACTTGTTATGCCATCTTTGAACATTGTCGTTACACAGTACCACTAAGGTTCACTGACTGACAGACTATTATTCTATTTTGTTTATTGCTAAGTAGAAATAAACTATTTTGTCTTAATATCAACTAATTCACTACATTTCACTCACAGGTCGCCATAAAGAACAACGTCGACGTTTTCTACTTCGCGTGCCTCATTCCAGTACACATTCTGTTCACTGAGGACGGACAACTCGACAAACGTGTATTTTTAACCACATGGAAGGAGATCCCCGCCGCCAATGAAGTTCAACACACACTGTCCAACGTCACAGGGAACGCGGACTCTATCGCACAGAAAATGACACTGAACAACATTTTCACTATCGCCAAAAGAAATGTTGAAGGACAGGATATGCTCTACCAGTCCTTAAAACTCACCAACAACATCTGGGTGCTTTTAGAGCTGAAACTCCAACCCGGTAACCCTGAAGCCACGCTCAGCTTGAAATCCAGGACTGTAGAAGTCGCATCCTGCATATTCCAGGCGTACGAAGCTATCATTAAGTCGTAATCTCATTTTTTGAAGAGGTCATTCTTTTTTACTGGTGTCTGGGACAGCGTTTTTTGGTCAAAAAACATCGGTATTGTTATAAAGTGTAGTAAATTTAACGATTTTTGAAGAAGTGCTAAGACAGGAATACGCTGTTCCTAATGATGCCGGTTTTTACGTAGAAGGCTTGCTTTGGTCAATAAGTGCCCCTAATCTCACAAAATGGCAGATTTCATAAGCTCAGTAAAGGATTTTAATAACTATCAAATTGATCAGGAAATATTTGTGTCGTTTTTAGATTTTCGACTGTATTATAAAATTATAAAGTTGAAAATTGATTAAAAGAGGTCGCAGTAAGAGTGGGGGTACGACCGAAGCAAGATTTATGTATCTCGACCTATATGTATGTATATGTTGGTATAAGAATGTTAATGAAAAGTATTCCTATGTAAGTTATAAAGACTTGTAAATTCCATTATAGATTGTATGTATGTTAGGTGCGCGATCATATACATTGAGTGCGGGTTTTCATGCCACCAGAGGCGCTAGTGTAGCTTTAGGTCCAATAAGATATTTATGTCAAATCATTAGTTGAGAAACTTTTGATTGAACAAATAGGACGTTGCGCCACTAGCGCCATCTCGTGGCAAATCGTACAGGCAAATAGCTTCTATAGACCATTTATGCAGCTGTTTCATTATAATCTGATTATTAATGAAATTAACAACTAATATCGAATGAAATGTTATTCTAATTTGATGTTAAGAGATTAATTTGATGAAATTATGGTTTTTAATGTTTGTTACTCGCCTGTGTGAGCAGTGCAGTGGTAAATTAATAAATATTATTAATATATAATTAGTTCGCGCCGTTTGGTGACAAACACGCTGTATGTAAGACGTTACTGTAATAAATTTACGTTATACTGATGACGTGTTTTATTCATTTTCTCCCTCGAAATAGAACTACCAATTGGATTGAGGGATGTCCAAAAAATGCCCTACTTATGCAAGGGAATCTACTATAACTCAAATTAAGAAAGAAAAAATAATATAGATATTATTAAATTACATTATTTTTCTAGTTATTCTGACCTAATTGGATATCGAAACCCCGAGGTCTTACCGAAAAAACTTCGTCCTCGCTCTTCTGTCACACCTGTAATGTTCACCGTCGTTCACCGCGACATTTTGCTGTTTGGACTAGGTTCCTACCTAGTCCAAACAGGCCGTGAGAATGATCATGGCAGAAGTTAAATGGTCCCACGATTTACTAAAATTTATAAACGAAATAAAATCCTACTGAATATCTTGCAAAAAAATGCGTTACATTATTGTGCTTATATTCGCAACACGGGGTTGCGTCCATGGACCCGATTTTACGGTGGCCGGAGATTGTCCCACAATACCTGCTTGCTGTTGCGGCTGCTGATGCGCAATGAAGACCGTCCCCTAACTTGGTACGCCTCTTTTTTTCAAGCATGGCTGTTTCGCAGAAGGAAATGTTTACTCTTCTGTTCATTTCGCTCTGGGAAAATGCTGGGCTCGACAGATCGACAGATCGTCGCTGCCGATCTCTTCTTGGAGACGGCATTGCTAAGCCCAAGCTGGAGCATATAACATTCGTTGGCACTGTGTCCTGCACTGCCATAAATTCACGGCGGAGCACAACCCACCACGCACTGATTCAGCGCGGCAGTGGAGAGGAATCCCAGACCTAAATAGTATAGTTTTACTCAACGATGGCAAAACTGAAACTTAGGGGAATCTCTCTGAATGTAGGTAGGTACTTCTAGCTGCACAATACCAATTGGTTACGCCCTAAAGTCGATTAAGTATCCATATTTCTTATTGTTTTTTTTATACAATAGGAGGCAAACGAGCAGGAGTATCACCTGATGGTAAGCGATCGGCGCCACCCATTTCATGGGTGGCGCCTGCAACACCAGAGGAGTCAAAAGCGCGTTGTCGGCTCTTTTCTTCAAGGTTTGAAGGTCGTATCGGTTCGGGTATACCGCCGCCAGAAGATCATTCACAGTCGCAGTCGTGTCGTTAATCGCACAGTTGGCTGCCAACCATCTAAGTGATGGGGATGAAGACGCTTTCGAGAGAACGATGGCGAAAAGATGCGGATCCATAGTCATAGTCCTTATCTATAAGCATTACTGGCAAAGAAAGAGGCTCTTTTCCCTCTGAGTTTATTTTTCACCGAATTCTTTTGGGTCTACCCAAAATTCGATAAGAATCTGTTCGAATGTGTCTCTTTTTTCTTAAAGACAGAAATAAACATGGTACAATGGTGCGAATGCTATGCATCCATGTTTTTAGCACGATACAAACTGGTGTATCTCAAGATGGCTTACTATTGACTACGTTGTTCCTCTTCCATGTCAGAGCACGTGATGCAACTATCCCGCATCAGTCGCCGTCGTTGGGCACTGCGCGACGACTTCCGGCGATCGAGTGCGTGCGATACCAATTCCGAGTAAGTATATGAGACGAGTGATTCAAAGAACCACGGCAACACACCAACGACAGTTTGCACGGTGGTGCGTTTTGTTTCGCTGGTTCGAACCTCGGTTTAGTGGAGCTCTGAGGGGGCCACCAAGCAGAAATAGACTGGGTCGGATTATTTATAGGAGTGTTTTCGCGGATTGTATCTGTTTTTGCCAGCCCTTCGAAAAAACATGTTTCCATGCGGCCCTCTTGTAGGATGGTGATTGGCCGGTTCTTAGATATTTGGGATGTTTTGTATCGGGCTACTATGCGGGGGTTCGGGTGCTTTTCGGCAGTATGAAAACAACGTTGTGACACGCGTTTTATGAATAACTAACTTCAAAATTGATATTTTGACGTCAACGTGTAATCTATGTATATATATATGTATGGATAGGCTTCAGCCGGGGTTGCGGGTCCTGCAGCGTCGGCCTGGAGCAGAAGGAACGGGTTCTTGGTCCGAAAGAGTGAGACCAAATACTACAACACGTTTTGAGACTACCTCTCGCCCCAGCCTGGACGAGGCTTTTTGATTATATAAAAAACAAGTTCCGGGGTTCACACGTTTTGGTGAATACTGGGCGGTAACTGTTCGTGGAGACGCCTCCACGAACAGTTACCGCCTGGCCGAGTTGACCTCCTTACCCCCTGGCCACAGCCAAGCGCGGCGCGGATTGCGGCGCGAAATGCGGCGCGATAAGCGGTGAACGGGGAAAACAAATGGTAGACAACGTATGAAGTATGCCACAGCTAACGGCGACGCGAATTGCGGAGCGACTTGCGGCGCGAAGAGCGTCGCGCGGCATGCGGCGGCGACGGGCGGCGCGGTGTGCGAGTGAAACAAATGCACTCGGGAGTATCGAGCCGGCCACAGCCAGAGCGGCGTATGCAGCGACAGCGAGGGGACGTATTTGTGTTCGCGCGAACTGAATAAATCGTTTTGAAAATTTCGCTCCGCATCAAATGGATACCGAAAAACTTATTAGTGAGATATTGAATATTGAATAATATAATTAAATAACAATAAAATTGTGGATGTCGAAACATCCTCAACATAAATTCAGAAATATAATCAAAAAGTTGTGGAATGAAATAAAAGAACACATCGAAGGTTTCTATGCTTGTCCTCGTATATTCAAAAAAAATTTCTGGATAGTTCCTATATTCGTGATAAAGCGTGTGAAATTCGCCAAGGTTTTTCCTTTTTTCATTAACTGGGTGCGTTCCAATTTTATTTAGAGTTAATGATATCTTGAGCTAAAAACGCATTTCTCAAGACAATATCGTGCCACTTTTGATAGGGCCATTATAAATAATACTGAGTACGTCCACCGCTGACGCCGCCGCGGTCGCAACTAGTCGAGCTGTGGCATACTAACGCAAAACGCGCCGCCCGCCGCGCCTCCCGTCGCACCGCGCGTCGCACCGCTAGAAGCTGTGGCCAGGCCCTTACCCCCTGGCCACAGCCAAGCGCGGCGCGGATTGCGGCGCGGCGCGGATTGCGGCGCGACAAGCGGTGAGCGGGGAAAACAAATGGTAGCACAGCTAACCCCCTGGCCACAGCCAAGAGCGGCGTGGATTGCGGCGCGGTTTGAGACGCGGCAAGCGGTGAGCGGCGAAAACAAATGGTAGACAACTTATGAAGTATGCCACAGCTAACGGCGACGCGCAGCGCGGCGCGACTTGCGGCGCGGGGAGAGACGCGCGGTACACGGCGGCGACGGGCTGCGCGGTGTGCGAGTGAAACAAATGTACTAGCGAGTATCGAGGCGGCCACAGCTCAGAGCGGCGCGGGCGGTGGCATCGGTGGACGCATTCAGGCATCGCACGACCGAAACAAATAATTTTGTTTCTACCGCGCGTTTTTAACTTAAAATAATGAATGTGGAACAATTTATTAGTGAAATACTGAGTAGACCCGCAATATGGATGTCAAAACATCCACATCATAAATATAGGCATGTTGTAAAAAAATTGTGGGACGAAATAAAACAACAATTTCCTGGTAGTAGTGGTAAGTATTTATTACCTATTTTTTACGAGTAATTAAACAAGATACGGCAATTTAATATCATAGACATTCACGATTTCATAGATACCTACCTACCTATTCTTGGGTTGGGTTATTGAAATAAAGTTTGAATTGATCTCGTATTCTAGATGCTTGAATCGTAGCTCGATTATTCCGTCTTGACCTGCGTACGCTATTGTGACTATTTGAGTCTTCAAACTGGGAAAAAAACTGCTGGAAATCTTCATCTCTGTCTCCGTCTCTTTCTCTTATAATATTGTGTAACAGGCACGAAGCCTTTATAATCAATATTGCGTGCTTTTTGTCTGCCTCTATACTTTTCGTAAAAATACGAAATTTATTTGTTAGAATACCAAATGCGCACTCAATTGTGACTCTTGCCCGGGATAATCTTTTGTTGAAAATTCTTTTTTCCGTATTTAAACCACCGGAGGGATATGGGCGCATCAAATAATTTTTAAGAGGGTAGGCTTCATCGCCAATTAACACGTACGGCAAATTCAGATTTGAACCAGGTAATCTTTGTGACGGTGGAACGTTGAATCTATTTTCTGTTAATAATCTATTTAATCGTGAAAAATGAAAAGTGCCTCCATCACTTTGTTTGCCTTTCCCGCCAACTTCTACAATAATAAACTTGTAGTCTGCATCTGACACTCCTTGTAGCACTAATGAAAAAAAATGTTTATAATTATAATATGCACTTCCACTATTGGGTGGATTTTTTATGCGGAAATGTTTGCCGTCTATCGCACCCAAACAGTTAGGAAATTGCCATCTTGAAAAAAATAAATTTGCTACACTTTTTAACTTATCACAGGTTGGCTGCGGCATATGTATTTGGGCCAAATTTTTCCAAATAGCTTCTAGAGTTTGATAAATTACTTTGGCAACTGTACTTCGTCCTAATCGGTAAGATTGAGCCAGAGACCTAAATGATCCACCGTGACCAAGAAATCTGAAATAAAAAAGCACTTATTAATGACCTAGCTTTTCCAAAATGTTTACTAAATGTAGGTAATATTATAATACTAAATTTTAATGTGTTATTACGTCTAGCTATCCATCCGTCCATCCATAATACATCTTTATATTTTATGCATTACTAGTAATGAGGTTATGAGTTAATGATGGGACTATCGCAAATAAAAAAATCTGTTATTCCATAAAAATCCAATATTGGTAATTACTTTTAATTTTCAGATGACAGTTTAAAGAAAAAATGGAAGAACCTAAAAGACGGCTACCGGAAAGAACTCAAAAAAGTACCTATGTTAAGGTCTGGAGATGAAGGTTCAGATTATAAGTCTCAGTGGAAGTATTTTGAACAATTATCATTTTTGAAAGACGAATATTTGCCCACCGTGGGAGAGACTAACTTAATAGATGAAGATACATCAACTCAAGATCTAACAGAAGAATTGTCGTCGTCACTCTTCGAATCACCGCCGCCGCCGCCTCCGCCGTCGGTTTCACCAGTGCCATCAACTCCCACCTCCCCGCCACAGCAACCGCCAACTCCACAATCATCAGGACTTCAGGTACAGATTAATGCTACCACCTCAAGAGAAAATGAAACACAAAACTCCTCCCGAAAGCGATTGAAAACCACTGAAATCCGTGCTGAGTATTTAGAAATAGAGAGAAAAAAATTGAAGTTATTGGAAGCTGACTTAGCAGTTGGTAAAGAAAAAGACATTCCCAGGTCAGATGACTATCACTTTTTGATGAGTCTATTACCAGAAATGGAGAAGCTTAACGTTTTACAGAAAATGAGACTGAGAAACAAATTCACTCAAGCTTTGATGGACGAAATTAGTCTCAATCAATATCCAGGCTATCAGGGCTATTACACTCAACCTCCGCCTTCTGACTACGGCACAAATAATTAAAAATTTACATTTTACCAAAATGTTAAAAACTTAATAATTGACCAAATGACATGCCAAAAATATAATTATAATTAAAAACTAAATTTGTGATTAATAATTTGTCTATGGTACATAAATAAATACTTAGTGATGAACAAATTAATATTTTTATTTATCTACATATTTACCTTAAAGTTAGAAACAGCTGTTCTAGAGGTGAAACATTTTTCTTGAAATTAACTTTAGCTTTCAAGTCTTCATGTATATGGCCGAGTATATAATCAAAAGTTTCTATGCTTGCCCTCGTATATTCAAAAAATTTATCAGGATAGTTCCTATATTCATAATAAAGAGTATGAAATTCGCCAAGTTCTCTCCTTTTTTGGTTAACTGGGTGCGCTCCTATTCTTGACTGAGTGATATCTTGAGCTAAGAACGCACTTGTTTCGAGGCAATACCGTGCCACTTTTGACAGGGACATTTTAATAGTTTAGCCGTTCCCTAAATACGTGCACCGCTGACGCCGCCGTGGTCGCTACTAGTCTAGCTGTGGCATACCACCGCAAATCACAACGCCCGCCGCGCCTCTCGCCTCACCGCGCCCCGCACCGCCAGAAACTGTGCCCAGGCCGTAACGGCGACGCGAATTGCGGAGCGACCTGCGGCGCGGAGAGCGTCGCGCGGCATGCGGCGGCGACGGGCGGCGCGGTGTGCGAGTGAAACAAATGCATTCGGGAGTATCGAGGCGGCCACAGCCAGAGCGGCGTATGAAACGGAAGCGAGGGAACGTATTTGTGTTCGCGCGGAATAATTTATTGTGGATGTCGAAACATCCTCAACATAAATTCAGAAATATAATCAAAAAGTTGTGGGATGAAATAAAAGAACAGATCGAAGGTTTCTATGCTTGTCCTCGTATATTCAAATAAATTTTCTGGATATTTCCTATATTCGTGATAAAGCGTGTGAAATTCGCCAAGGTTTTTCCTTTTACAGTAGCAATGTGTGAAGTTGACTTCGTTACTTCCTTTCCGGAACCAGCTTAGCTATATAGGCTAGGGTAGCGTTTTTTATACCATCGAAGTTGGTTTTTATTTGTTTTGCATCAAAGTTGCGGATAAATTATAAAAATAAAACACTTTATTAATTAAAAACATAGTTTAATATAACTTCTCAAGTTTTCTTTTTTAATATACACATCATGGTCCAGACCTTTAAAGCATCTATTTACAACTGACAAAAATATTTCCAAAAACTTCTCCTTACAGTTAAATAACGCAACATGCATTCTTTAAATTTCTTTAACAAATTACAAATATATATTGAACTTAAAATGAAACTTTTAACAAGAAGAACGAATTATAAAAAAAATACAGAGATTCCAAAATAAAAGGGAAACAAAAAAAAACTAGGACTTATATTCGTTCACGAGTTAGCGTTATAATGAAGACGAAAATCAAAATAATGATAGATGAGAGACAGATAATTTATATATATATTTATGGAACTCTGCATTATGTAATAAACTTTATTAAAATATTGTCAATAGTTTATAAAAATTGTAAAACGACAAAATTCGTTTTACCTACAGGAGGAACATTTAGTCAATTTTGACGAGAAACTCCTCGACTTCTAACTTTTGCCTCATAATAGCTGAGAGCACAACTTCAGTACTGCAGACAACATTCAACGTCTTTTCAGATTGCAGGAGATAGTAAACTAAATGTAGATCGTTGGGCACAGTGAGAACTAAATAGCTGTATTTCTTTTGATTATGCATTTCTTGTATGGAGACGTAGGACCGGCGATTTTTCTCAACTTTCCCGCCGCAAAGCTCAATCATTTCCGTGAGGGCGCCTCGGGAGGGTTTGACGCAGGGTGTGAGGAAGAAGGTGACTCCTTCGAAGAGTTTTTTCCTCATTTCCCCGCAGAGTAATACTTCGGACACATCACACTTGAACATTTTGTTGAAGGCCTCGTCTCTAAGGCCGTGTTTCGCTTCGTCAGCGAATTTGTTCAGTCTCTGGCTCTCTAGCACCCACTCTGGCGTGAGCAAATGTTTGACGGTGACGAGGCTACTAATCAGTTTGCACGTTCTCACCAATTTCTCCATCACAAGGTGAGTGGCTTCCGCTGCAGATGACACTACTAGACCGCCCAGTTGCCTGTTAATAAAATAACCAAGATTAGTATATTTTTACGATCAAAACTAAGCTTATTTAACTAACAAGTCTTGCAAATTACTTGAGAATAATGAAGATGAAATATTTTATACCTAATGTTAACTTTATCATACAGCTGTTTTTTTACAACAAAATGTGTACACCATTACCAAAACAACACACAGAACAACTACATACTCATAACCTTTTAAAAATCTTCCGATCTGACTACAATGTATTAGTCTAGTTGCAAACTATAAAATTACGTAACCATACTCCTTTACCGACTGTTCTATCTAGAATTCTAGACCCTTACTTAATAATTAATAATAGAGAAAATAACCTATAATTCGATTTTTTAAGTCTTATTTTTAAATAACTTCTCCATCTTCATGATTTCGACTTTCGTTTTCATCTTGTTCGCTATTAAGATCATCATTATCCATCTCGTCATAATAATCATTTTGATCATTATCATCATCGCTGAAAATAAAATATTTTACAGCTAATATAAATAAATAGCTAAAAATATTTTATAGCTATTTAATACTACCCAGTCTCATACGGTTTTTCATTCACTGCTCAGCTCTTATTGTCTCTAACGTGAAGTTTTGTGGCCTTCCTTGGTAAATGAATTATCCAACGAAAATAATATTATGTTTCGTTTGTACTATACTACATATAACAGCCTATAAATTCCTACTGCTACGGCAAAGGCCTCTTCTCACACGGAGAAGATTCGAGCATTAATCACCGAGCTTGCTTAAGGCGGATTTGAAAAGTCCAGGTTTTCTCACGATTTTTTCCTTCACTTTTATTGATTTATTACGTCTGTGATGTCTAAATAATCATAGAAAGTACATATAACTCAGAAATAGTTGCATTGGTAATTCCCAGGTTTTGAAGCCTCAAACATGCCAAAGCAAAGCTTCTCTCTGGGCCACCATAAAATCTTACTTCTAATATAATACCAACCTGACAATAGCAGCCAATTTATGTTGCATATTAGGCGTTAACGCTGAGAAGGCGACTCTGGGAGCCAAGTGTAAGGGCGGGGGCTGCGGCGGGGCTCCCGTGGGTGTGGGCGGTGCGGGCGGCGGGGAGGCCAGGCGAGGGCGCTTCGCCCTCCGCCCTCCGGCCGCTACGCAGGCCGCCGCTGCCGACCGCTTCGCTCGCTCGTGAGACTCTTGTGTTATATTTATTGGCATTTTCCACGCATCTAAGATAAAACAAAATATTTTTTATTGATGGTGGTCTATGCGGGATGGACTTTATTAAAAAATGATGTAAATTTTGTAACACTTGTAGGTTTTATTTAGTGATTCCCATTACTTTTTTTATTTGCCCTTACTGTTTGATTTCCCTTTTGCTGGTAGGTGTTGTTAATGTATTTTTTTATTTATTTATTATGATTATTATTTTAATTTAATTATAAATTATAATTATTAATGTAACTGTAGATATTGTTGAGTTTGTCTTAGGTTAAAAGTAAGCACAACTGTAGGAATGCTGAACAAAGTATTCAAAAGATTTTCAATTATTAAAAGTTTATCAAAGTCAATAAAACACAAGATTAACTTACAAGCAGGTAACAGTATAAATAAAACAATGAATACTCACTCATCAAATGTGACACTAAGCTGTAGTCCATACGGAACGGACTTGTCAAATTGAACTGCTGGTACTTTGCGTTTTCGATCTGAAGAGAAAAAATAAAAAATAAATTATTGAAAATGCAGTTTATTTTAAGTGTGGGGATAGCCAAGATTCGGCACGAATGGGTCTGCTCGACCGGAGTGATACCACGGCCTCGCCGAAAATAGGCGTGAAACAACTACAGTGATATGTTCTGCCTTGTGAGTCACGGCAAAATAGCACGGCCCAATCCCTGCCCCTCCCCCATCCCTTCCCAATCCTTAATTATCTGAAACCCATTTTCCTAAAAAGCCGGCAACGCACTCGTAACTCATGTAAGGTTGCTGATGTCCAATGGCGGCGTCGATTGCTTACCATCAGGTAATCCATCTGCTCGTTTGCCGACCTATATCATAAAAAATATATATATATATTATTAGTTACCTGTGAGAGTGCACTCATGTTCCCAAGTAGGAGGTCGGTGAGCCAGGCGGCAGTGACCACGGGTATGCCCCACTCCCTCGCTCGCCTGTACTTGTTGCCCTCCGCCCTCTTGCAGATTAGCACCGTATTATCACGAGTCATGTAGGGAGTTAGCTGTGGAAAAATTTATGAATTTAGAAAAACACCAGATAACAGATCATGGGATAATAAAAATAAATCTATTTCATCAACTCTTAGGTACGTTTACAACTTATTTTGCTCATACATATACATACAAGCAGCGATAAGTGTTGTTATAAATCCATTGTTTCAATCAGCGCCGCCCACGTATACCTGTGAGTTAGTAGTCTTTGTTTGGGGACTTTGGTAGTTGCGTAGGCATATGGGGGTTCACAGCAGACATTATTTGTGACGTGCCGAAACATGACCCACTTTGTGGTTTATGTTTGTTGGATATGGCCTAATATTCGGCCAGGGTTGCGGGAAAAACCTCAACAACCTATCGGGGATCGAATCGGGGGAATGAGAAGGAATGGGGTGTTTTTAGTAAATAAAAGTTACTCAAAATCTCTCCTGTCTTTCCTAGGGCGAGCGAAGTCAAGTGGAAATCAGACTCCTTTTAAGAAAAAAAGATGCCTTGCTTCAGCTTACTAATTGTATAGTTTTGTTTGATTCTTTTAGGTAGTTTTCAAATTTCAAAGTTACCGAAATAAGTTCAAATTCTAATCAGAATATAATAGTCTAAAAAAAATACTATACATACCTTGGCCCCAATATGTTCAATGCAGAAGGTGACGCGGTCCCGCTCGTCGTGCCTCCATCCGGAGATGGCGGCGCGATGGTGTCGCGCGGGGCGGTCGCGCGCCGCGTACATGCTGGGCAGGTGCAGCGCCAGCCACGGCGGGACCACGCCGCGACGCAACATGGCGTCCGACAACCAGTACGCCGTCACACAACGCTTGGCGTCGCGGAGAGCCTGAGGATGGGTGATACTTCACATTAGTTTAACAAAAAAAAACGTGGGAGAGCCATGCTTCGGCTCGACGGCCTCACAGAATCCTGGCGTGAAACAACCACAGCGTTGTTTTTCGCCGTGTGAGTAAGGTTATATAAACCTTAAACTCCAAATCTATATTCCTCAAAAGTTCGGCAACGCACTCTTAACTACTCTGTTGCGGGTGTCCATATGCGGCGCTGCTTGCTTACCATAAAAAATCACTTTAAAAAAAACTATGTCATTATCCTCAACCGAAAGTTAAGGTTTTTCTAAGAATCATCCGGATACACATTCTTCGTAAAAATCCAGCATTAAATAAAATGAAATCAAATGCTTTATTTCAAGTAGACCACAAAAGACAATTTTGAACGTCAAGCAAAAAAAAAAATATATATCAAAATATCGTGTCAGTCTGTCTGTCTGTCCTCTAGTGAAGCTATTTGCTCGTTCCCAAATGTAGATTCCTATGGAGAAGAACGAGCAAGAAACTCCATGATTACTCTTTTTCAATCAGTCTCACAATGCATTTATTTCTTACATAATTTAGTCAATTCTATAATGTGAGAACAGTGTACCTTAATGTTAAGCCAAAGGATCCGAAAAAGAAATGAACCTCAAGGACACCAAGTTTAAAATTAAAACTGAACATAAAACATCAAAGTAACATATAACACCGAGCTACAACATTGCAGTTTAGTTAACAACAGGCATATTGACAATTACTACAAGCGATACGTCCAACCATGCAATGTACCCTTAGTATGAGTTTTGACAGCTCCTTCGAAACGTTCATTTTCATTCAAAAACTAACAGCACCCATAGAAAAATGAAGAGAAATTTAATTTGGCAGTTTGAGGTGATTTGAAGTTTAAAGTATTTTTAGTCTATTAATGTTTACGTGATTTTTCAATAATTGACAAGTGATACTACTAGACTTGGCCGATGGCCCTGCCACCGGCCACGGTCCCCCGTAGGGACTCACAAGGAAGGTATAATAAGGTTATAGATCAAAAGTCGAATACAGATATGGGGATATCAGAGATATTCTTAAAAGTTTTGACTAAGAGCTAACAATATTTTTGGTAATAAATAACTTGAAAAAACTGGGGCAATTAGAACAGTATGTTTCGGAATTTTTTTGACGAGACCGTACTCGCAACTTCGCTAAGAGAGAAAGTGTCGCTGTGACCTTCGTAAATACGATGGTTGTCTATGCTTCCTCTTTTCGATAAGCATAGACTATAATCTCGATACATAAATACTCGTTCTGCCAACTACTCGAAAACGAAAACTTATTAAATTGTTTCGAAAATTGTAATCTTTTGTGGGAACCCATACTAAGTGTAAGAACAGATAATACAAACATTTTAATAAACCTTTGTAAAACGCTGAAAGTCACTGTCAGTCTGCCACCGTTATGTTCGAATTCAGCCAAATCTTGCAATGTTTTTTTTTCTAACGAGGTGACAAGTTATTAAGGACTTGCAAAGAGGTTGCATGGCCTCCACAAGATCACACAGTTTCTCAGGTGAGATTGCAAACTGAAAATCTCACAAGAGAAACCATGTAGACTTATGAAGACGATCGCTTGCGTTCTGTTTCGCCGTGTCAGTGAGGTTACTGGAAGCCCAATCCACCGAATCCCCAAAAATACAAAATCCTTAAAAAGCTGGCAACACACTTGTAAAGCTTTCGGTGTTGCAAGTGACCATGAGCGGCGATTGCTTACTATCAAGTAACCCGTCTGTTTGTTTGCCGCCCAAAAACCTTTTATTATTGTTAGTCAAAAATATGTTAATGAAGAAATAAAAAAAATACAATACACCACCTAGCCAGAAAATATATGATTATTCCAAAGATAAACAGAATGTTATTATTAAAATAAATAACGTTAATTTCGGTCAACTGGTAGATACATCTATAGAGGTTAGGTTAGGTTAAAAAAGACTGCGATCCACTTCTAGAATTAGTTTTAGAAGTGTATATAAGTACATACCTGCATAACGACGCCATGTTTTTGCGTTTCGCATAATACGTGAGTGACGCGTGCGCAGTAGACTGGCTCTAGTTCCCCGCCGCGCCGCTGTATGGCCTCACCCCACCGCGCCACGCGTTCTGCGCCCCAAGACTGTTGATACTCCACCTTAAAATACAACGATATCGATGAAAATTCCATTTGTTTTGACGCAGATGGGTGATTCTCCGAAAAACCTTTACTTTTATATAACAAATCATTATCCTCACAGGTTGTTAAGCATCTTAAGTAACTTAATATTCACAATTTTACTAATCGCTTGCTTGTAGAAAGCAGTGGTGCGATTTAATTTAACAAAATCATTATTTGTGTTTTTCTTAAATTGATGTGAAGAATCACCCAGTTAACTTCGTTTCTATATTTAATACAGTAAAATTCGAATTTTATCTAACAGAGACGGGATTCAATATTTTTAATTCGATTTCAAAAACTGTCCTTTTTGTTTTGGGGCGAGCGCGCCTGGGTGGGATGAGAGGTAGTGACAGACTCTTACTGACTAAAAACCATCCCGTTCCTTCTCCTATCGGCTGAGCCGATAAGTGCCATGGATCATATTTAGATCTATTGATAACTTCAAAATAAATATATTCATATTTTTCTCTGTCATTATTCTTAATTAATTCTGTATCTGTAATTATTCTCTGTCTTTAAGTTTTTACATTAGTAAAAATACTAAATACGTTATTTTCATAAAACTTTAAGTATCCAAAAGTTGGTAACACCTCATTTATTTCAAAAAACTATTTACAACATTATAAAAAAAATATAATTTTATTAATTTATAATAGAAATAGTTACTCACGATATGGAAGACACAGCCTAATAAGAACAAGTCTGGCGGTAGTTTGAGGTTGGGATTGTGCCCGTAGAACTGCGCACGCGCAGGCGGCGGTCTGGCGGGGGGAGCGTATACCTGTAGCGGGGAGGGGGGGTTAAATCATAAAATTGTTGATTCGATTAAAATTTCTGTAAACACATTTAAGGATTTAATAAGATAACTGGTGAAAATTGAATGTTATTTATTTTTTTATGAATTTAAACACTCGATAAATAGGATAGTTTCCTACTAGTTAAATTCAATGATTTTTCCGACAACAATATACTTATTTGAATTTTATAGGTATCAAGTTGTGGCATCATAAAAATGTACGTCAAATAGCACAATAAGATCTTTTGAATTATAAAAAAACTAATATTAAGTATAACGGAAAATTTATGAATGAAGATATGATTCAAAATATGATATATATATTGAATCATTTTTATGGTAAGTATTAAAAGTTGAAATAAATTCTATCTGACTGAGGAAACGAGCCAATTCTCTCTTTATATCTATCTACATTTCGTTATGAACATCGAATAATCAGTTTCTTGCATGGCCAATGAGTTAAATCTTCAATATTAAATAAATGTGATAGAATCATCCAATTTTTATCTTGTTTTTTCTCTGTCTCTGTTTTTAAACCTTTTTATTGATTATTGGTCTTAAAATGTGTTTCTGGCGTGAATGTCTTATGCCGAATTAACACGGCATTTAATTTCAACAATCATAATGTTAGAAAAGAAAAACAAAAAAACGATACAGACTTTACAAAACCACGAGTATCGTATATCCGGCGCAAGCAGTCCGTCGGTCGGGCCGTACCTTGTGGTGGGGGTGGGGATGGGCATGATGCAGCAGTAACCGCGGCGCGGCGGGGGCGGGGCGCGCGTGGGCCGCCGTCATGAGGCGCAGAGTGCCGGCTGCGGAAGGCTCATGGTCACTAGCGGTCCCACCTTGCAGCCGAATGCTCAGCATGTTAGCCAGAGCTGTCTTGGTCTTCGGATTAACTAGGAGAGCATTCCCTGGAAGGATATACCTATGTGTGTCTTCTCTTCTTACCATTTCTCTCATGCACACACGTACAGCAACTTTGAGCCATGCAATATCAACCGAAGACTTTCAGTTTTTCAACCTTTTTATTAGTTTTCATGCCATTTTGCTACTACTTTCAATTGTATTATATCTACTCCCTTCTCTAGATAGGGTTTTTTTTCTATATTAGGTTAGATTTGATTGGTACTGACCTGGTTGTTGATCTGGTGTCGTGGGGGTTAATAGAGCTGCGTCGACTGGTTGTTCCGCTAAGGGGGCGCCACTTACTACATGTTGAGTGACACCTGGAGATACCTGTTAAAATGATAACATATCATGGATTTAAGTTAAGTATAAGAAGTATTTTTGGTTAGTCTAATGGACTATATGCAAAACTACTAATGACTTATTAGCAATACCTCACTATATTTCTTTGATCTACCATCTAAATAGACTTTTCTGAAGCGTTTGACGGGGTAAGCCATAGAAGTGTATTAGTAAAATTAGACGCTTATAGAAAGTCAGGCTCTCAACTGTAATGGCTCAAGCCTAATTATGAGGTATAACACAATTTGTAAGGGCAAATAAAGATTACCACAAAAAATGGTGTATATTTAAATTTAAAAGCATACACAGTTGTGTCAGGGGTACCTCAGGGTCTTGATTTAGGTCCCGGCTGGTTTATTAATAAAGTATCATGCATAAAGTAGGTAAATGTTTAAAAATATGTAAAACTGTGAAAAAAAAATTAATTATTTATGCTTTAAGGAATAGGTGTGTTGTAAAACAGAAATACCCCTAATTCACCTTCGATTTAGGAACCTAAAATTGTGATACGACAGCAAGGGAGCTGATAATGATGGTAAGCAATCAGCGCCACCCATGGTCATCCATAACACCGTCAGAGGAACAACAAAAAAAAATGATGTTTGTTGCTTTTTCACTTGAAAAGTTCTTGATTTTCCGTCACCACTGAATCACCAGCATGACCTGTACCTGTTTAACAGCAGCATGGTGCGCGACATGGTCCCGCTGGGCCTGCAGCTGCTGCAGCCGCTGGTAGTGCTGCTGGCGCTGCAGCTGTAACTGCTGGAGCTGCGTCTCTACGCCAGCGCCTGCACCGGCCTGCGCTACTGGACTCGCTACACCGGCTGAACCAACTGGCAAAAGAAAGAAAGAAATAGGAGATTTCACATCATCAGGTTATAAGTGCCCACTGCTGTGCAAAGACCCCTTCAGGCAGGGAAAAGGTATGAGCATCAGTCACTACGATTGCTCAAGGCGGATTGGTGATAACAAACTTATAATTCAACACGAGACAACGTTGGTAGAATTTTAGTTAGTTGAAATATAAAAAAACGATACACTTTTTATTTTTTTTTTTGTACGAGATCACAACGTATGACGTCAAGTTATTTTTACGTCACACAATGATTGGTACAATAGGAATAGGTACTTATTTCTGAAAAAATCGCTAGAAAAATCTAAAGTTGCATAATTCATCATTCAATCCCGACCGAACTTCTTCTTATTGTTCTTTTATTGTATCTTGAATGACCACAGTTGAAAGTGAAACAATAAATTAAGGTAATCTTTTTTAATACTTGTATATTGTACTTGCTAAAATAATTAATATTGACGACCTATGAAAGTAAGCAATTTTAGGGTGGGGATGAAATAAAAAAAAATCCCAACCAAATATTTAAAATTCGACGCCTATGTAAAATAAGATCGCGTTCAAGGCTAAAGTTTAACAACCGGATGAATACAATATTTTGAACACAGCTGTATAAGGGGAGCGCCTATTTCCATACAACAACGGCCACAAATGTCAAACATTTTCGGTCTGCTGACGATTTTATAATTCAAAATGTTTTCAAAAAATTTAATGTTGGCGTAATCCAATTCATATAGCCTGAAACATATTACTGATATTTTTTAAAAGTTGTATTATTTTATTGCTGTCCTCCAAGAATAACTCTTATCTAAGCTTTTAAAAAATAATATAAATTAATTATTTTCCTGTTAGTTATTTAATGCGAAAAAGGTACGATGGGGCTTACATATCTTTGATAAAATACCCTTAACAAAATATAGTTTTTTTAGAAAAGGAACTAGAAACGGAACGGGGCCGAATAATCGAAATTAAGCCGAATATTTACCCATTAAGCCGAATATTTTACACAACACAACACTATTGAAACACGGCGAAAATTTTACTATACTACTTCAAGTAAAACTGCACTATAATTGATAATTTCTGAGGCAAAGCCAACTTAGACCACAAACATTTTAATTTATATATTTTCCTGTATTAAAATGATTCATATGCACTTAAAATAGTATTATTTGAAGATAATTATTAAGTATACTATTTTACAAATATTAGGTTTATACTGTTTAATATTTAATTTAATGAAAACTTACGACACGCGCCGGTTTCATATGACCAAAGAAATATTCTATTTTCTCAAGAAAGTCGATTTACTTCATGATCCGATCTTATGTTGCTGAATATTTGAACATGGTGGCCTGGGGGTTAAAGCGAGTGCCTGGAGGAGACAAGGCTCAGGGTGGAGTGCCGTCGCTACCTTCTGCGAAGCCGTGATGCTCGCAAAGGAGGCGGCGGAAAGGGAGAGAGAGGCTGCCTCCTCTCTCCCCTCCCGCAGCAGACGCACTAGACGTCGTAGGGTGGCCGACCTGCGGCCACCGTAGGGTGCGGCCTGCGGACGACAGACTCGGGGCGTCTTGTCGTCTGACCAGCAGCAGGCCTCGAGGCGGCGGCGCCGTGTTCCGCGCGCGCCTCATAATGGAGTCCTGCGGTCGGGGTGACGGCCGCAGTGGGTGACGGGGCCCGCCTAACCATCTGGCGGGCCAATACCCGTCGGGGGGATGCGACGAATGCTTCGGCGATACCCGCCCCTCCGACACATTGGTAAGTGGAGGAACACCGGGTTGGTTTTTAGTCAGTATGAGTCTGACAGTACCCTTCGCCCTTCCCCGAGGGTGGTGGGTCTCCATGAGGATTTTCCAACCCGACACCAAAAAAAAAAAAAAAAAACGAGACAAGGCAAGTGCCAATGTCATTTAAACATTTGTACTTCCTAAGATATTAAAAAAAAACGGCGAAGGAAAACGTGAAACTAGGGCTTATAATTTCTAGTCATAAGTACGAGATTGCCAATCTTCCTTGAGCAGGTGTGGTGATCAATGCTCAATCCTTGTTCGGGTGTGAAAAGATCCTTCTCTTAGCAGTTGGCACTTATACGCTGATGATGATAATATTGTGTCGTGGTGGCCCGGAGGTTAAGGAGCCTGCTTCTCATGCATGAGGATGTGGGTTCGAAACATGGCAAGTACCAATGTGACTTTTTCCGAGTTATGTTTTTTCTACGATTATTTAGACACAGCTGACATCTGACATACGGTGAAGGTAAACATATGAAGGAAACCTGGACTTATAATTTTTAATCGTAAGTTAGAAATCGCCAACCCACATTGAGCAAGCGTGGTGATTAATGTTCAAACCTTTTCCGTGTGAGAAGAGGCCTTTGCTCAGCAGTGGGCACTTATTGGCTGATGACGATGATGATAATGATGATGATTATAATGAAAAAGTAAGTACAATAATAAATAGTCTAATTTTGTGAATTCCTAAGAAAAAAAAAATCGATTAAATTAGGGTTAATCATAATTAGTTTAAGGGTCTGTTTCACAAAGTCTGTATTGCCACTGTGTACCAGATAAATCTGCATTTAGAACGTTAAATCACGTTACTATGTGCCACACGTTAATCGGCTTCTTTTACGAAAGTGTTTAAACAGATGGTAAATAAAAAATAAGTGGACAATACCACGAAGCAGAGTTAGTGGCACAAAATAAAAAAAACAATTACTGAATGAATTTATTTATATAAGCTTTTAAACATATAAGAAACTAAAAACAGACTTGACAGAACTTACTAGAACATTCAGTATCTGGTTCATCCATCATTGAATAGGTACAACACAACACAGAACCACTTCCAAAATTACTTTTATGGAAAAATAATCCTATTTTTGACTATAAATCTTCGTGTAAAGGGCAGGAGAACTTCGCCAGATCGTGGCTCAAGCAAAATACTAAACATATTGAGTTTTAGACTTAGATATCTCTTTGAAATTATAATTCGTGATGTGGTTACGGAGAGAATCATAATTATGTATGAACATATAATTTAAATACCAAAATTTCTAACGTTTCGTTCCAGCAATCGTTCGATCAATATGGAACTGTTTTATTGAATTTATTTTTTAACATATAACACCTACTTTGACTGTATCTACTTGCATGTAATGTAAGAAATTATCCAGGAAAGATTTGAGGAAAACAAATAGTACTGACGTCATTTTGGTTTGTTATTCACGCCGGTAGGTATGTCTTCAAAATATTTTTTTTTCGTTATAAGACAAACCAAAGAAGGTTTTATATTTGTAGACTTTTTTGTATTTAGATACTTTGTGTATCTGTTACAGATAGAATTCATCGCCAAATGTGTTAAGTGCATAACTCGTGATCAGCTGAGTCTGATCCGTAAATTTTGTTTTTTAGTACATGTTTTGGAATAGGAGGGCGTTTATTATGCAGAGAAAAAGAAAGGGTGACCGTAGGTAGAAAGGCAGGTATAATTCCTTTTTCGATTGAAATAATATATTTTATTTTTTTTGGATACAAGTTTTCTTAAAGAAAAAAAATGAAACCATTCTTGAATAGTCACTATCCTGAGAGATAACTAACTTTATTGAAAATAACGGGATGCTCACGTGACTTAACTGAGAATAGATCTCTACTACTTTCAAGTTACAACGGGACTCAATATTCATGAGCAGTGCGCGTTGCGACTGAGCCCCAATTTTTTTTTCTCAGGGAAAATCATCAAATGATTTCTCCCGCCCAGGGTTATGCGAGAGAGAGAGTGCAGACTCGTTACTGACTAAAAACCTCCCCTTTCCTTCTCCTCCTCTGGGCCGGGACCGCGGTGACTCATTGCGCTTAACCCGCAACCCCGGCTGAACATTAGCCCTATAGGGGACTGAGCCCCGCTGTGACTGGAAACCGGTAGAGCTTTTCTCGGTTAATTCACGTAATTCGTTAGTTTCAATAAAAACGGAACCCTAATAGATGCGTGACTCATGTCTATCTACCCGTCCATATACCACAGCTACTTTTTCCCGAAACTAAGATCTTGTGGCGGTTCCCCATACAAACACTTTGTTTCATAAACTTTTTGTTTTATCATCAAACCGATTCCTGTGCGTGTTTTTGTGCTTCTTATCACTAAGCCGTATCCGTATATTCTTTACCGTATAATTTAGTATATGTCATCAATCATCATCATCATCAGCCTATAAGTGCCCAACTGCCTACTGCTGACAAAGACTTCAAATACTAGGAATAGATCAGGCGAGTATAATTACGGGAAAATGCAATTAAATAATGCTAATAAACAATAAATAAAAATTGACTGCACGGTTGACGTCTGCCTTGCAGTCATGGGTTAATTTCCCGCACAGAACAACTCTTTGTGTGATCTACAAATTGTTTTTCCGGATCTGGGTGTGATGTGTATGTGAAATTGAATGTTTGTAAACGCATCCACTTTACAGGAGAAAATCCTAGCGTACACAGCGTTTTAAAAAAACTTACCGGGCGATTGAGGGGGTGGCGCAGGCGCAGCGGCGGGGATCGTAGCAGCGCGAGCTCCCTGTTGCTGTAACCATTGTACCTGTAACAATATTACAACGTTAATAACTAACTCCTTGAAAAATAAATCTATGTATATCATTATACGTGAAATAGCACAATTGCCCTTGGTCTAATAGGATAGATGTTCAGCCGGGATTGCGGGTCAAGCGCAATGTAATTTATGTTGGAATGTATGGATATATGTTGCTTATTCTTTCACGCATAAATGTGGGAGATTCATGCTTCGGTACGAATGGGCCGGCTAGACCTGAGTGGTTTTTTAATGTCATAAGTCGGCAAACGAGCTGACTTATTACCTGATGGTAAGCAATCAGCGCCACCCATGGACATCCGCAACACCAAAGGAGTTACGAGTGCGTTGCTGGCCTTTTGGTAATGAGGGTTGGGAGAGGACTGGGAAGGGATAGGGGAGCGAAAGGGATTGGGCCCCGCAACCTCACACGACAGGCCGTGGCCTGTCACTCCGGTCGAGCCGACCTATTTGTGCCGAAGCTTGGCTCTCCCACACTTAAGTGATACCACGGCATGAACAATAAAGCAACTCTAACGTTGTGTTTCGCAGTGTGAGTGAGGTTACTGGAGGCCTACCCTTCCAATCTTACAACAACTAGAGGTCGGCAACGCACTTGTTGTAACTCCTTTGGTATTACAAGTGTCCCTGGGCGGCGCTGAAGGCTTACCATCAGGAAATCCGTGTGCGCATTTGCCGACCAATGAGATAAAAAAACGCAAAAACGACATGATCGATTCGGATGAAATTCTGCATGTAAATAGGTGATGCCTTGAATTAACATATAGGCTACTTTTCATCTAATTACCACGCGGGCGGAAGCTAGTACAAATATATAAAAGTTACCGGCACTTGTTGTTGAGCGAGTCCCGGTGTTATCTGGCTACGTATAAAGGTGACACTCTGAGCGCCGGCAGGGGCCGGGGCGCCAGGAGAGCCGGCTACTACGCCCGGCTGCTGTGGGGAAAATATTATTAGTTTAATAACATAAAAATAAACATCATTATAAGTGCCCACTGCTGAGCAAAGGCCCCTTCTCACACGGAGAAGGTTTGACCATTAAACACTACACTTGCTTAAGGCAGATTGGCGTTTACAAACATTAATAATTAGATATAATAAGTTCCCTTACTTTGTTTTCCCGTTAGTTTAATATCGCAAGATCTTACTTGACAAGAAGCACTTGGGGTACTTGAACCCCACACTTTTCTCATGGATTATAAATTTAACGAAATCCAGGCAGCAACAGTCTCTGACGAACCTTTTAAATTGCCATTACCATAAGCCCGAAAGGCAACTACAACAACAACGACTTGCTTTTAGATTAGATCGGAGAATGTCAGAAATCTTATTGTATTCATGTTTGATACACAAAAACCTTATTGGAGGTTGATTCAAATAAGTATATTTTTATGAACATATATGTATATCCCTCGAAAATTTTGAAATACTCAATTTTACAGAAAGAAGTTTAATATTAAAACCTAGTGTACCTGTTGCTGAGCTATAGCGGCTTGTCGCTGCAAGGAGAGCTGTCGTCGCTTCTGCAACTGCGCGACAAACACAGCTCGTTCCTGCGGCTTCATTTGTTGCAGCTGTGCGTGAGTTTGTGCGTCCAAGTGGATCAGTTGCCGACCACCTCCACCCGCCGTCCATGATACCTGCAAGATGTTGAATGATATTGATTATTCAGTTTGTTGGATATACAGGTAAGACTATCGAAAAAAGACGGCTGGAAAAGCCGGTTTAGAGCATGCTGGATGAATGTACATCAACCAAATCCTACTAATATTAGAACTTTAAAAGTTTTTAAGTATTGGTTGAATGGAATTTCTTATAGAGATAGGTTTTAATCTGGCATACACTGATACTGCGGACGAAACCGCTTAAAGAAGCAAGTAGGCGATCTATTGAAAAAGGGTCAAATTAAAAGCATTCACAATTGACGAACCTGTAGGAAGAGATTGATGAAAATTTGAATAGAAAGTAAAGAATTCTTATAAGACAAGTATTAGAATTTTCATTCAACTGCACAATAAGATATAGAACTTATAGAACTCTTTGTGTGACCCGCAAATTTTTTTTTGTAAATGTGCAATTAACACAGGAGAAAAACTACAAAATTAAAAAAAAACATAACACTTACCCTAGGGCCAACAGTACCAGGCTGAGCTATCTGCTGCCTCTGCTGCAAATACTGTTGCTGCTGCCATGACACATTCTGCCCACCCTGAACTATCTGCTGGCCACCCGGGGACACTATCTGCTGTGCTCCACCATGCGTGATAATCTGCTGAATACTTCCTCCACCACCGGCTTGGGGAGACTGCGGCATTTGGGTCAACACTTGCTGAGTCTGCCCCACAGCCTGACCAAGTATCTGCTGACCAGATTGCGTCACAATCTGTTGTGAGGACTGTGCAATCACCACATGTTGCTGTTGTCCTTGCTGAGTAATCACATGCTGACCTCCTTGTGTCAAAACCTGCTGTGTTCCCTGTGTTATAATCTGTTGTCCACCCTGGTTGACAATCTGACCTCCTTGGTGAACAATCTGACTTTGTGACACAATTTGCTGGCCTCCTTGCAGTGTGACTTGCTGATTCCCATGCACAAGGATCTGTTGCTGTCCTGTATGCTGGTTTATCAGCACTTGTTGAGGAGCTTGCACTATCTGCTGCTGACCAGAACTGCTTAGAAGTTGCTGCTTTTGGAACAGAATCTGATGGTGTGTCTGATTCAACTGTTGACCCTGACCTCCTATAGATTGTTGTAGAATTTGCTGAGGATTTTGTTGTATGGTATGCTGAGGACTCAGTTGAGGTTGCTGGTTGTTTATTAAAGCCTGTTGTTGAGTCTGCATGATCTGCTGCTGCAGAATTACTTGGTTTTGTGGTGTTCGAGATTGAACTAATGGATTCCTAATTATTTGGTGTTGGCCTTGGACATTTTGAACCATCTGAAGGTTCTGTTGTCTCCAAGCTCCCTGCACTGGTACATTAGCATTCTGCTGAGTCTGTATAGTTTGCTGCACAGACTGTATCTGCTGGCTTAGTACAGTTTGCTGGTTGGAGTTCACCAGCTGGTTAAGTTGCACTCCCTGACCTGACTGACCCTGTGATGATGTCACTAGACCCTGGACTCCCATATTAATATTTTGCTGTTGGTTATTAATAGTCTGTACATTTTGTTGCTGAATTAATCCTTGGTTTTGCTGTGACATCTGTTGTCCAGAAGATATCAGTTGCTGGTTGATGAGCTGTCCTTGTCCAAGATTTTGGTTCATCTTTGCATTTTGAAGATTTTGAGTGGACTGTGCGAGTTGTTGAGCTATATTTTGTACAGCTTGTGAAGCACTTTGCTGGCTGAGACTTAAGCTTTGTTTCATGGCCATGTTTTGCTGTTGTTGGAGGTTATTGGCACTCTGGCTCAACATCTGGCTAATATTCTCAATATGCTGCTGAGCTGAGCTCATTGTGGTTGGAGGCTGGTTAATATTCTGTTGCAAATGATGCTGGTTACCCTGTATGTGTTGCTGTAATTGACCCTGAAGGTTCTGTGACATTTGGGACACAGAAACATTTGGCTGGAACCCTTGCTGGCCCTGCTGGTTACTCAGCTTATTCTGTTGCAGCATTTGCATTTTTAATTGATGCTGTTGCAACATTTTCTGTTGCTGTATTTGTATTGCTGTCAGCCCATGTGGTTGTTGTTGTTGCTGTTGACCCTGGTATGTTTGTTGTTGTTGCTGCTGTTGTTGTTGCTGCTGCTGCTGCTGCTGCTGTTGTTGTTGTTGCTGCTGCTGCTGTTGTTGTTGTTGTTGTTGTTGTTGCATGCTCATTTGTTGGCTCTGGATCATTCCTGCTTGGGACACTACTGTCTGTTGTGCAAACTTCTGTAGCAAAGGTGAATTTGCCTGACTACTCTGTATCTGAATATTTTGTGTTGCAATACCTTGTGGTATCGACTTGCTCATGATGCCGGGAGTAGACATGGAAGTTGAGGTGTATCCCATTGAACTGATCGGTGTAGAAGAAGCCACTGAAGCACTAGAGCTGGACGGTGGATGATTCCAAGGCATCCTTTGTTTCAGTTTGTCCAACAAAGCCTGGGTACTGTCATCCTTATTTTCTGCCATGTTCTGTGTGGGAACTTCGTTTTTAGCAATACCTTCCTCAAAGTCGAACCCTGTGATCGCACTGATACGGTCCATTGCTTTCGGGGGAGGCTGAGGGACAACTAACAGTTTCGGGTGAAATATATCAGTCACCGCTTGTATTCTGGCCCTAATGCTCTCTAGCACCCAATCAGGAGTCACAATCTTAATCCTTGAGGGAGGGAGTGTCAGCGCAGCACTGTATCTCTTTCCTGCAGCAGATCCACAAATCAGGTGAGTACACTGAGAGTCCAAGTTCAACTTTACTTTTCCACCATGATATGTGATAACAGCGAACAAGGTTTTAGCGTCAGCAACACTCACTTTAGATATACAACATACAATGTTATTAAATATCTTATTCTTATGAGGATTGTAGGGCTTCGGGTCGGCCAACTTCTTTAGGCGCGCGCACGCTAGGACCCAGTGCTCCGTCACTGCAGGGATCTGGTAAATGTCCTGGGCTTCGTCGACATCGGTGTCTTCAGCATTTTGCCCACAAATTAGATGTGTGACATAGTCTGAGAAATATTTTGTACTCTCCGCTCCACCGGACTGAAGTAACAGCAGAATCTGCAATTAGACAATGATCCCTAATTACAATCTATCCTAATTATAACACTTATTACAATACAAATACACTAATGATCACAAAATACATACCCTTTCCGAGACATCGCCAGAAACATAATATTTGACATCCTTGAAAATTGGCTCTTGCAAAGTTAAAGAATCTAAATCGTCAACAATCGTTACCATTTTCTGTTATACAACAACGTTAAAAAACACTCGATTTACAAATTAATTACACATTTTTGCTATATTTTTCAACAAAACGCCGATACCTCAAGCGACGACGTCCATGATTAATATTGCCACCCAATAAAAAAAAACAACATCTTAATAATAAATATTTTTTTATTATTGTATGCGACTTAACTATTCATCGTAAAGTAATTCGAAAGGAAAAAATATTTCCATAAATAAAAACCACCATCCCTAAATAATTTATTGGAACTACCTAACAAAATTTTAACGGCAAGTCTAATTGTAATAGCAACACCTATGAGTTTTTTATTTATGTTTACTGTCAGTATGTTCTTTAGCACCGAGGCATTTGTCCATTACTTCTTGGTAATTTTATTATAGCGGTACGATTTAGCCGCTGACGCTGAATAAAGGCTTTATTTATTTATATTTATAACATAATATAAGATCATCTTCCATTAGAATTCATTCAGAATATTAGCAGCACAAAAGAGACATCACAGCCCAACGACTTACGCCGACAAAGCGTCCAAAAAATAATTGTACATATATTAGGTCTGTAAAAAGAAGTTAACTACATCAAGATTTATAACTTACCACACTATGACACCGCCACCTCGGCCCACAGCAGGAGAAGGAACAGGGTGGTTTTTAGTCAATAAGAGTCTGACACTTCCTCCCACTCTGCCCTGGGCGGGAGAAATCATTTGATGATTATCCCCTCACAAAAAAAACGCACTATAATATTACTTATCACAATATAAGATTATCTATCATTTTTGTGGTGTGGGTGTGATGCAAATAAATGGCAGAAGTCCGTCGGATGCAATGCCATAGTAACTCAACGGGAAATTCTTGATAAGGTACCTAGGTACATACCAACCTAGACTGCCTTTGCCATTGTGTATGTAGCTTCTGGCTTCTGATACAATTGGATGTATCTACATACCTAGTTACCTTTCCAACAACTATTTGCAAAAAATATCGTAAGTTTTATGGTAGGTATCTACTTTAGAAAAACCGTTTTTATTTATACGCCTCATGCGTTGAGGGAACGTATGGAATAAATAAACGTTAGATATTCATTTTGAATTATTCGATATTTATTTGTGTACTTAATTATAATCTTCTCCTCGTTGCTGGCTGGCTCGTGCCTCGCTGTTTGCATGGAGAATAATTACCTACTATGATTAATTCTACTCAAAAAGCGTCGGTTCATAAAAACATTTGTGTTAGTGTTACCCGATCTCTCTTTTACAGTAAATAGGTATGGTAACTTCGAAAGATACCTAGGTACTGTATAGCTCATTCATACTGATTGTAGATAATGTACAAGGAATTAAAATAATTAAGATTCCCATATAAAATTCCAATGTTGAAGTATTCTACGTGAACAACAATAATCAGACACTTTTCATTTGGTATGCCCATTCATTTGGTTGGTAGGTTTGACGTATGAAGGTACCTACTTAATACCTAATCAAAATTTGCAGATGTTTGTTGAAATAATGTACCTGTAGGTACTTAGGTAGGTTTAGGTATTAAAAACTTTTATTCATTAGTCCTGACTATTTCTGTCTGTGCAAACACAATTTTCATTAGCGATATATTTGACATCTAGTGGTTTTGTGGTTAATAACCGATAATTATATGAGTTTAAAACTTCTTAATGAACTTGTCGAATCATATGTATTTAGGTGATTACACTCGTTTACCTAAATAGGTATAATTAAGTAAATGTCCTACCTTTTCGAGTTCCTATCAAGCTAGGTTTATAACTTGATGAAGATATGAAAAAAACTCCCACTATTATGCAACTAGGTTCCTATGTACCGACCAAAGGATTTGTCTCCCTAAATCACATACTAAGCATGAGGATATAATAAAATAAAGAGAAAGGTACAGATAAAGGTCGCTATGCGAATAGCGAAAAATTTAGGTTTTTTTTAGGATTTTCCCTTTTCTAGGATTTCCTATTGTGCTATGGTTGCATTTACAAACGTACAATGCCACATACACACACGAAGAAAACGCATCGCACTCACACGCGGAATAATACCTAGTTTGCGGATTACACTAAGCTTATTTTCGTGCGGGAATTAAAAGCGAGGACATCGTTATTATTACAGTTAATGTTGTTTGACTTGGCAGATCCTGTAAGTAAGTATTTATGTACCTATCTGTGTTTGAGAGTCGCTGAAGACGAGATTTGCCACCAACCTATTTGTTTCAATTAGCTATACAAAAGATATCGTCCTGGGTGTGCCGAGACTCGAGACAGAGCCAGAACTCAGACACTTTTACGGACTAAAAACCACCCTGTTCCTTTTCCTGCTTTTTTTATGCGATAGGACAGCAAACGAGCCGGCGGATTACCTGATAGTAAACAATCAGCGCTGCCTATGGATACCTAAAGTGCGTTGCTGACGTTTTGGGAATAAGGGATTGGGGGAGGGGAAATGGGCTTCCGATGACTTCACTTAAACGGCGAAACACACCGCTGTGGTTGTTTCACACCGATTTTCTGTGCTTCGGGCCACAGTCGAGGTACATAATTTTATGCTTGTTGTTTTAACATTTATCACATTATCGAAAAAAAATTAAGTTTATTTCTCTCATGTAACCTTTATTGCGTTTAGGAAGAAAAGCCAAAAAGAGTTTACGTGACTAAACCACTACAGCAGTGGCCGCTATTAGCGCCTATATAAATGGGCACCGAGATTCTTTTTAAATAGAACGCCTAATTACATTATTTTCTTATACTTACGTATGCCTCACACTCGGTCGCATCGTAAATAAACGGCTGCCGGCCTTAGAAGAAATAGGATTTTGTAAAATTAAGCTTTTAAATACTCGAATTTTATATAAAGTTGTGATAAAGTTCATTAGTGTTTTACAAATCTGATCTTCTTATCACTGTTTGATGCAGGTAAGTTTTCTTTTTTGGAGGGAATGTCTTAGTGACTAAAAACTAAAAACCTCCCCATTCCTTATCCTGCTCTAGGCCGAGGCCGCGGTGCTTTGTCACGCTTGTCTCGCAACCCTGGCTGAACATCATTGTAATGGTTCATGTTTAACAGAAGAAATACCCAAGAAGTTCGCACGCTAAGGGTTTTTACAAAATGGCGTCGCCGACTGTTACTCACACCAACAGCGAAAGTTTTTCCGTGTCGTCAAAAACTGTAGGTCGGTAAGGTTAAAGTTACTGTAACAGCTAATATTTTGTGTGTGTGTGTGTGTAGGTAAACCCCCGTGCGATACTACAAAACACGTTCGCGTTCACACACACAATGCCATGTATTCACAGTATAATGTGGTTTAAATATCTATATGAATATTTTAATCACACACATCTACCTAGATACTTAAATACATAAATATGCGCATAAGATTTGAATGAATCGAAGATGTTTTTCGAGATTTTTCAAGAATTGATAGTATCTACTTATTGTTTGGTTTGTAATTATTACAAGTACGCGGGCATTGATTATTTATTATGGTATAAGTACCTTCTTAGTTATCAATGTCTACTTAAAATACTTAAATTATTGAAATTATTTATGCCTTTTGAAATACGTCTACTTTCAATATTCAGAAAGAAAGAAAGAGGTTTCTTGAAGCCTCTGCTGTAAATTCCTACTTATTAAATTATGTAAGAACGTATAATAAGCACCTACTCAATAATAACATTGTTTATAAACAATGATATTATATTAATTTATAAAAGAATAAACTTTATTTAACATTATGGTAACATATATGTATAACTTTAAGGAGTCTCACTTCGCTGTCCGCTCGTTGTTATTATTATTTAAACAAAAGTTGCAAATTATCCATAGACACAGGCAGCCAATAGACCACCACAGACGGGGCCCTCTAGGGCTGATAAAGCCGGGGTTGCGGGCACCGCGGCCTCGGCCCGGAGCAGGAGAAGGAACAGGGGGATTTTTAGTCAGTAAGAGTCTGACACGCCCTCCCGCCCGGCCCTGGGCTGGAGACGTCATTTGATGATTTTCCCCTCACAAAAAAAAATCTATAGACACAGACATTCTAAATACCTAGGTGTCTGCATGTTCAGAAACACTCTTTAATTAATGTATAATTACATTATTATACAGTTTATAGTAACATTGTGATTTCGAATGACATTTGCTACCACATAACATACATAAACCACTTGGCGCCCAAAACTGGTATTTTCAAAACGTGTTCGCTATCCATTTTCCTATTTAAAAGTAAATAATGAAACATATCGAATTCGAAAAACATTAATGACGTACGCGTAGGTACATAAAATAACTTACGTTTTATCTATGATTAAATTGATATTTTCCCGCGTAAACCACAGTTTTATTACAATGGCTGTCACAGCCTAAAAAAATCGACACAAAACTTACAAAATGTCAACGGTCTTAGGTTTCGGGAATCGAAGTTTTTTCAAGTAGGTAACGAGTAGGTACTTAGTTAAGTTATTAGTACTTTTTCGTCAACAGTCATGCATGTTTTTTGAAAAATTAAATAAAAAACATTTTATTCCAATTTTTTGTTGATTTTAACGTACTTAGGTACTTATTGATATGTTTGATTATTTTAGTTTATCGATTTATTTTGTATAATTATTATAGGTAGGTATTTTGAATGAGGAAATATCACAACCGTCAAAGCAAAGATCGGGAGTCGGCTGTTTCAATTAGGAATTTGACAAAATGATTTATGGCGGATTGTGAATCTTCAAAAAAACAATATACATGTTGCCAAACAAGGTGCCTATATAGTAATAAGGTACTTATAGTAAGTAGATGTTTCTGTATAGGTACTTTTGCATGCAAAGCACGTGTGGTCTCATACAGTATAACGAATGAGATAATTTTATTAATACTAGACTGACTCAAGCTCGGAGATGTTGAATGGATAGACTGGCTTACGACAAAAGCGACCTTGTTGTGTTTACCTAAAGGCTTTATTTTAAAACAAGTTAAAATATGTTAATAAACTTTAGTGGTTCTCGTAAAACATATATGTATAATTAAGTGGTATCATCATTGGACACTTAGGAAACAGGATTTTGTGATTACAGGATATGTAAGACAAACCAACTAAGTACCAAGCTACACTTGAAATCGGTCAAATATCTTTTCTGCTTTTTTTAAGAACACGAGGTTTAGTATGCGTAATATTTTCCTTATATAAGATATTTAAAAAGCGAACTAAAATTTTGATTTTGTAACGAATTTGACACAGGCGTGACGCTGAAAAGGCCATTATAGAAATGACGTCTTCTCGTCAATACAAATAATAGATAATATTATGTACCTAATGCACGTAAATAAATATCATTATTTGAGAAGTGTTTTTTTAGTAACGTTATGTACCTACATTAGAAATTATTAAAGTACATGTACACTATTTCCTTATTACATTCAAGTGGTTCACATTAACTGCACAGAAGAACCTCATCAGTCATAAATTTCTTGTGAACAAATGTATCAACTTCGCACCAAGCAAGAACAACTGTCCTCGACATACCACAATAAAATAAAAAGTTCAAAAGTCGACGGACTACAAGGACTATGCGAAATATCTGTTTTGTATGTCTCATCCATCTCGATAATATAGCCAGTCCTTCGCCAATTGGAGGCTTGGAAACACGTCGCTGAGAACGAACTAAAACGAATAAAGTTAAATCGCAAAATGCAAACCTTAATTCGAAATTTGAAAAAATGGATTTGAATCTAGTGTATTTGTGTGTTCTAATTTTAAGTTTGAATTTAGTGTGTGGCCAGTACGCGTCTTCGCCGTGTCCTGGCATATTTGACTTTGAAAACGATGGACGTAATGTGTATGGGAAAATCATTTTGCGACCAAGCTCGCCGGTGTCTTCCTTAGTGCTAAGAATTAATTTTACTGTTGCAGTTCAACTATTTAGTGTGAGTACCTTTAATTTTTTACTTTAAAATTATTAATAATTTGTAACATCTTATTTAAATAAACTGGTCCTCGTATACACAATAAGGCAAACGATAAACCTGTTTAAAATTAAAAAAGTTGGATTGATAAAGTTTAGAAATCTCAATTGCGAAGCCACTCCCTTATGTGGAAACAAAACAGCAACAGTTTTACCAATCATCAATCAATGTCCGTGTTTCATAAATACTTTTTGACAGGTATCAGAAAATATCAAACGAATCCACATAACAAAGGAAAATCTTCTTTCAATACATACGGAATTATAAGGTACCTATTAGGGACGACTCTAGACACACCACACCACAAACCACAGTATTCACAATTTTCTTGTCATAAAAACACTAACATAAGAACTTATGTATAAATATTATACTTAAATATTTCTCAGGTATTGTCCTCAAACCCGCTTTGTATAGAGATATACATAAACATACATGTAATTTGTAATGGAGCGTACCTATATAGTTTATTACCTACGTACTTCGTAGCATATAACTACGAAAGCGAGTGGTCTACGCAACAAGCTCTACTGGCCTATTTATTTATTGGAAACCACAACAGAAACATTTAAACATGTAAAGAGAAGACGAACATACCCTATGTCATCTGCCGGGGTTGCGGGGTAAGCGCAATGCAATGAGGCACCGCGACCTCGGCCCAGAGCAGGAGAAGGAACAGGGGGGTTTTTGGTCAGTAAGAGTCTGACACTCCCTCCCGCCCGGCCCTGGGCGGGAGAAGTCATCTGATGATTTTCCCCTGACAAAAAAACCCTATGTCATCTAATGAGGTAGATGATTTAACTTTATGCCTGGCTCTGAAACTTTCCCTCGGACAGACAAACTCGTATTTTCCTTTCCTAAAAGTATTCTAGGAAATCCCTTGGTAGGTGATCCTTTGTGTCATCACAAAGTCAAAATCGTAGCAACTTATAATTCATTTGTGACTACTCGTAGTAATATCAGTAGGCGCTATTGACACGTCATGGTAGGCCCTCAGCCGTGTGTTTTTGTAACGTTTAGTCTACGAGTTTATCTTTATCGGTAGAATTGGTAAAACGTAGGTTTTCACAAAAGACATAGGTACATACCTTCATCATACAAATAGTATCCTTTACCGATAGTCAGTTGCAGATACCGAAATTACTCATTAGAAAGATACAGAGCTTAACTATATACAGACTCTAATTATTCTTTTAAAACAGATACAAATTTTATTCAACTAATATAACATACGTAGAATCATTTCAAGATGGTACAAATAAACAAGTTTTGTATAAGTGACGTGAACGTTTTGCTATGAAATATATTGATATAAAATGTCAAATATAATTAATGCAAATAAAGATTTTATTGGGGCCACTAATGTTATATAATTATGTGGGATAACTTTGTTTTTAAAATTCATAGTCTAAAAGAAAAGAATTTGATATTAAAGAAAGAAGGTAACTTTTGTTTCGATTGTCTTTTTACTATTTACTGACGAATCAAACCCTTAGTTTCAGCTAAGGTTTCAAAAACATCGTGAATTGAATATTTTAGTAGCTAAACAGTTGAATCTGAATAATTGTTTGAGTTAGTTATTCTGCCATAAGGACGTCATTGACCTACTGCTTGTTGATAGGCTGTGGTCCTAATTTTTTGCTCGTGACCACAGATTATTAATACGTAACCTAAACACGTCACTTGATAGGTGACTATAACGACTAAAATAAGCTTAACTTTTGATTTTCAAACAAGCAAGTCTATTTTCCAAATGACTTTTATTAAATTATAAAATTACGTTATTTTACAATAATATTAATAGCTACCTAAAAGATGATAAACTATAAAATTTGAGAGGAAACAAAACGAATTACGAAACAAAAAAAAACCCGGTTAAACTTCGTATTATAATTAATCGAGTTTCTCATTAACATTTTGAGTACCTACCGGATTTTACTAGTACGTACCTATGAAAGGTGTAATAAATTAAATTAATTACGCGATGGCATAAATCTCGTTTTCTCTGATTTACCTTAAAGATTAGAAAATTAGAAACGACTTAGGACTAGTACTAAGCGTTACTTTTTTTAAATCACACTAAGTAAGTATCTGGCGCGCGTCGCGGTGCGAAAATCCTCTCTCGGTCTTCGTCGAAGCCATAGTGCGAAGCGAGAGGAACTGGGAAGCCGTTTGCTCTTTCTGCGAAGCAGAGATGATTGCAAAGGAGGAGGCGAAGCGCGTGAGGAAACTAGGTGGAACTACCCTCTTTACGCACTAGCTGCCGCAGTAGGCAACACTCTGGGCATCGGGGATCTGATTTCCGGCCACCGTAAGCGTGGGTATGCGGACAGCGAGCGAGAGTAGCTCGTAGCCGACCAGATCAAGACCCGAGCATATGGTGCGTAGCGTACCGTCGCGCCTCAAAAACCTAATAAACTACCACAGAAAAAGCCTTACAGGGCCGATGTTCAGCGGGGCTTGTGAAATAAGTAAGCGATTTGACGCAAAAATGTTATTACGTCATAGCTCAGTTTTTCATACAAACATAGATAAGTACAGTTTTTGACGTTTGGATAAAAGTATTGAATTTGACTAGTTGGAAACTACCGTATTGTACCATTTAAAAAGGTTAACTGAGGTAGGTAATTAAATTTGAAAATCGAAAGAAATGAAATTCTATAGACAATTTTATAATTTTATTCTAATTTATTCTGTGGTTAGTAAAATAATGAAATTGTCACGTGATCATGTCACGTTGAAACTCATATCTAGAAAAAATATTGTGTGGGAGAGCCAAGCTTTGTCACGAATGGGTCGGCTCGACCGGACTGACACCACGGCCTCTCAGAAAACTGGCGTGAAACAATCACAGCGTTGTGTTTCGCTTTGTGAGTGAGGTTACAGGAGGCCCTATCCTTCCCCTCCCTCCAATACCGTTTTTGTGAAACCTTAATCTTATGCATATGTGACTTTCTTGCAGTGGGGAAAATTGACATATTAGGTACTACTTCCGATTCAAAAACTGTCATATTTCTTTTGATTTCTATGAGACTCTTACCTACTGACTGACTTAAAACCTTCCCGTTCCTTCTCCTGCTCCAGGTCGAGGATGCAGTACATTATTGTGCTTCACCCGCAACCTGTAACTCATTAAAGTAACGCCCATTTTGGACTAAAGGCATACTCAACAGGTTTTGAATGATCTTCAAACCTGAAACCGGGGCCGATGACCTTTGCGGCGCCAATTGCTCACTCGGCATTCTTCGAAGAATTTAAGAAAATATTTTACTGTAAAGTAAATACTACTTACGTAAATACTGTTTCATTCCAGCCGAGGATTGATGGTCAAGTGCAATAATTTGACCGCACCATCGACATAAAGAGGTTTTAAGCATCGATCACTAATAAATTAGTGATCGAAGGTTTTAAGTCAATTAGGTTAGGGCTGATTTTTCAATGGTTAGATAAAAGTTATCTGGGTAGTTATATAGTTATAGGGATAATTCCGTGATAATTACGATGCTGTCGCGTCAGAATGTTTGTATAAGACAGTGACAGCAATAATTTTATTCCTTAGATAACATATATTCAATATTTTTTATGTTACATTACCTAAATAAATAAATGGCAAAAAAACCGCTACGTTTGGTACTTACCTACGCGTTCATGTTTAAAACACCGAAATTAAATAGGGGTAGAAAAACAATCTATTATAATACCTACATAATTAAAAAAATATTACATATTCCGCAGACGCCGTTATTTTTTTCTTAGAATTCGTAGGTATTACAGATATCATAAGCATTTAAGTAGTTCAAAATTGGATGAAGGAGATTTCAGGCGAAATACCTAGTTCATCATCATTATTTTTCATCATTGCCTATAAGTGCTCACTGCTGAGCAATGGCCTCTTCTCATACGGAGAAGGTTTGAGTATTAATCACCACGCTTGCTTAATGCGGGTTGGCGATTTCAAACTTATAATTAGAAATTATAAGTCTATAACTAGAAATTATGAGACTATAACTAGAAATTATAAGTCCAGGTTTTCTCACCATGTACCACCTCCACCTCCACCGTATGTCAGTGGTGTCTAAATAATCATATCAAGTACATAAAACTCGGAAGTCACATTGGTACTTGCCAGCCAGCCTTTCGAACCCACACCCTCATGCATGAGAAGCGGGCTCATTAACCTCCGGGTCACCACGACTCCTAAATACCTAGTTCAATAAATAAATATGAATCCATGCCACCCTTCACTTTGAAATAAATGAAAAAATCTACGGAAAATCCAGGTTTCTTAAGCTTTTAAAAATCGAACATACTTTTTGTTATTTCTTGCATGACAACCAAGCTTCTTTTATTCATTTCTGTTGACCGTTATTAAAATTCAACAACTTTATATTCTCTTCATTATTAACTAGTTACTCTCGCACGGTTTCCCCCGCTCGGCTTCTTTTAATCGTAGCGTGATGTTTTATAGCCTATAGCACTCAGGAACATTGTAGCTATCTATCAGTGAGAGAATTTTCACAAAGATGACCCCCTACATACAAACGTACAAACTTACAGATTATAACCCAATACCAAAATACAATGACAATAGTGGTTATATCCTCTTTGCTAAAATACGTCTTCAACTCTGTCAAATTCAAAAAAGGAAGCTGACTCAAGAAAGGAAAATTCAAAAAAGGAAGCTGTTCCGCTTTATCTTATGATTTCCAAAAAAAAAAAAAGAATTTGTTTTCGGAAAATAAATTCAAATAGAACTGCTTAAAAACTTCATGCCTTAAAGTTTTATTTTTGAGAATTTCATATTCATCTATCCACAGCATTTAACACTGCATCCGTGGGAAAAGAGTAAAAATTTCGTGATAGATAAGGTACCTATTGAGTAAATAATCTTGCACTGAAAACTTGAAAATGATAAATACTCCTTCCAACTGACAGAATGAATTTTATTACTCCAATCAATC